GAAAGTGAGAGGAAATCTATCCGAATTGAGGTAACCCACCTCTTAGACAGTTGGCAGCAAGCAATCGTCCCTACTGAAAGATATTCTCTCTGTTCCTGTTCTGGTGACATGTAAAATGTTTAAATTTCCTCTCCCTTTTAGGCCCAGTAACCGTAATCACCAGGACAAACAGAGGGTGAACCTCCCCATTTGGGACACATATAGCACCAAGGACCTGCCAGGAGGACAGAGCTTTAGGAAACACTGGGTCAATAAGATTTTTGTACGGTAAAAGTTTTCTTTTGTAGTTCATTGAGGGACACATTCTTTTTGGGACACTGGCAAACAGAAAAAGTTGTAAGCCAGCTCCTCTATAACCCCTTTTACCAAGTATGCCTCAATTTAGTAAAAACATGGCCACAGAAAACACAGAGGGGGTCAGCATAACACTGCAAACCTGCCATCTAGTGCGCAACACATGATTTCAGGAATCCACCTAGTCTCCAACCCATGCCGTATCCTCTGCTTAGTAGGAACATTAACCTAAAGGGCAGCAGGAATGAGGAAGAAAGCAGAGGGAACTGCTTCAGAGGGTTGCAAAACAATCACAAAGCACCCAACTCCTGGTGATCAAGTCTCACAGAGAACTCTGGACGTACACCCTAACGCGCAGGGGGCACTGGTAGCAGGATCTAAGCGTGTTCCACCTACTGCCAAGTTCAGGTCAGTACCGTACAAGGCCATTCAGTGATGGAAACTACCTTCCCAGCAAGAAAAGAGGGCATGCAGGTGCTGAATACCTCACACCACGATAGGTCACTAGCTGAGGAGATTCAGAAGGCAAAGCCTTATTGCCAGGAATACTAGAGAAAGACACATGCTACACTGTCCATGGAAGAAATCCCAGACCTTTCCAGAGGTGAAGGTCTTCTAGCATTCCTGAGACGTCCAGCTAGTACACCGACACACAGAAGGATCCCCCAATGAGTCAGAACAGTCTTGTACTGGCGAACCAAAAGAAAGTCCCAGTGTGGAGACACAACAGAGTAGCGTTCCCAGGGTGACAGAGACACAAGACAAGCCCATCCTCAGCTGTGTAGAGACTGCAAACTAGAGTTTGGGACTTCTTGATCCACGGGGTTAATCTGGACGCCTCTCCTAGAGTCCACAAGAGAAAGGGAGACCATGGTAGGACAGGAATCTCTAGACATCTCCCAAACCCTGAGGTGTAAGGAGAGCAAAAGCCTACTGGAAGACCTCTTTAGTGAGAGGCTGCAGCCGAACCACCTACTAGAAAACAGACATTTTTAAGGGAGAGTCTCAAGTGTTTCCCAATGGGGATGCCAGGAAAAGGCACTAGACTAAATACAAGAGCCATTGCTCCCAGCAAGCACTTCTAGGAAATGCTAAATGGAGAGCCATATCCGCAAAAAAAAAAAAACCAGAGCAGATTCTTGTTGGCCTAATATGACGAGACATCCAGGAGAGGAATAGAATTGATGGGTAGTCAATATCAACAGTACCCAAAAGATTAAAAAAAGCTCCCTTTTAAAGAGGCGTACCACCCTTAAAGACAAGCTCCTGTCAATGTAGGAACCCAGCATCCGGGGAACCCTTAAGAGGAATGGGCAGATAATGTGAAGAGGCTAATCTCAAGGGTATAGCTTGATAGCTACAAAAACACTGGTGAGGTACACTGCCCAGGGACCCAACTAGATGAACAAACTGCCCCCCCTCAAAGTGAGGTGCACCTTCATGCAGAAGGGTTACCAGCGGGGGTTGGAAGACCTCTGGCTGTGATCCCTGCAGTCTAATTAAAAATTCAGGCTCTGATTGTCCACGTGCAACAGCTGCAGTGGAGGATGAAGGAAGATGGGTGGGGTTTTTGAGACTCTTCCACCGACTTCCTGTGTTAAAGTAGGAGCACGCCCCAGCCACCAATGGCATTGTTAATAATGACAGTATCAAAAGCAAGTCCAAAGAGTCGTGGTCCCTCAAAGTGCAAGTCAGATGTTTCTTTCCTTTGAGAAAACTCCTTAATTCTGGGACATCAGCTGGTGGCTCAATAGCAGCCTCTTCAAAGGATGACTGTTGGGGCTTAGAATCGGAATCAGAGATAATGAGCAGTGCCTTCGGACTTGGCTTGATTTTGGGGTTCAGGAGCATGTGAGGCACTCTTATGGAGAGGTCAGATTGTTACAGTAACTGGGCACAAACAGGCAGGAAGTCCAGAATAGAGTGGTAGGGGCCCTGGGGACATGCGATGGCCTCGGCCTCAATCGATGAAGCTGCAGGAGACCATGGGAAAGAGGACCCAACAACAATAGGGGTCCTAGGTTCCAGATTGCAGGTGTTGGTTCCTTCTCGGAACACTAAAGGAGTATGAACTGAAGTCACTTATGGCAGCAGGACTGTCCTCTGTGTCTTTGCGAAGACCCGTTGTGTCCACAAAGCAATAATACAACTAGAACCAAAGTGAGGCAAGTTATCAATACTCACAAACTCGGGCAGCAGATGCTGATGAGGGCTTCAGGGGGCTAAAGCTGACCAAGACACTGTAGGGGCAGAGGAAACCAAACATAGATACACGTGGTTCTTCCAGAGCAAGAAGATGCTTCCTCCAGGCAGAATGGTGGGAAAGAGAACAGATCATGTGCAGCACTCAACCCAACGGATGACAAGTGCTTGGTCCCTAGACACCAGCAATGTAGCTCAAACAATTTCGATAGAAGTCATGAAAGTTAGGAGGCAACCATAAAAATTAAGACTGAGTGCAGTTGAAGAAAAGGCTTCAAACCTCCTAGGACACTAGCAAAAAATTGAGACGTTGAGTAGAGGGGGTTCTAAGGGGGCTAGAGTACATATTTTCAGGTTTGCCAGTGTCCCAACCTCCTGTAGGTGGCAGTACTGACTAATAGAATTCATGTGTCCTTCAAATGACAATAAAGAAATAACATTTTAGACAGACCGCAGAGCAAAAGAAACCAACAAGACCTTGATCAGAACAGGATTCATAAAACAGAAGGTATTATTAACATCCCCTTATGCCAAACTTAACATGAAATGCCCAGTGTGGTAAAAATTTATATTTTTCAACTTTACAACCCACAACCACCCCACCAATTACACTCGAGTCACTGCTGATATATAGCAGATTAAATGTTCCTTGCCACTACAATAGCTAGTTCACTTCAGGTGAATAATTGCATTTATTTTTATGATGGGTAATCTACGCCTCATGAGTTTAACCCTTTCGCTGCCACCGATGTAAAGCTTACGACAGAGCACAACCGCTTGCAGCTGGCCATGTCAGTAAGCCTTACGTCGGTGGCTTTTACTGTTCTGCTAAGCAACCATGAACTTCTACCACAATGGTTCCCCTGACAGCCCATTGTAACATAATAGCGGTCAGAGAGCTACTAACAAACATTCTGGGCTTTACATCACTTGCTGTTCATTCATGAGTTTCTGAATGGGTAGAAGCTGTTCTCTACAGAGGCTCCTACCCATTTATAACTGGTTGATCGTAAAAAATTCACTATCTCCAGTTTGTGAATAAATGGCAAGTCTCTACTGAGTGCTGCATGAAAAGAGATTGAGGGCTTGGTTTCCTCAATTTATTTTTCTATTTCAAAAAGGAAATGTCAGGGGCCTGTTTAGACCCCTGATAATTAGGGATGCACCGATACCGGTATTTTAGTACCGATAATTTTTTTTCGGTACTCGCCGATACCAATTACCGAGTAACGGAAGTCCCATTCAGGAAGCCAAGTGGCGTGTAATGACTCACCACCTGGCTTCCAGATTAACAAGAAAGTACCCTCTTACCTTAGTATGTGCAGCCTGTCACCCCCGGGGCCTCTCCAGCGAGAACGCGGCCTTCGTCCGGTACCCAGCCGGAGCCGTCTGGCCAATCAGGAAGCCGCGTGCCGTGTAATGACGCGACGCCCTGCTGTCTGATTGGCCAGGAGGCCGGCTCCATGCTCTCGTCATGAGATGACGAGGGAGCATGAAGCCAGCTTCCAGGCTAATCAGAAAGCAGGGCGTTGCGTCATTCGACGGCGCCCGGCTTCATAATTGGACGGCTCCGGCAGGGTACCGGACAAAGACCGCATTCTCGCTGGAGAGGCCCCGGGGGTGACAGGCTGCCCATAATTCCCCAAAGCCCACCCCCCCAAAAAAAAACAAAGAAAGAAAATAACGAAAAAAAATAAAATAACACAAACCCCCCTCCCCCACACAGATAACATACACATGCACTGATGTTAGAACGCATCGCAGTACTTTTTTCTTTTTAAAACATTTAACTATGTAGCAGTGCATGGCAAAGCGTTGACACATTGCCGTGTGCTGTGATATGATGTGCTGTGATAAAATGCAAGCCTGCATCATTTTATGACAACACACACCAACACAGTGCACAAACGATTTTTAACATAAGTCTCCTATTTACAGTTTTGAGTTACTTCATTTTTTTACCGTTTCGCAAAAAGGCGCAATGTCAAATTTACAAATATTTTTATTAACTCAATGCAGTTTTAGCTTTTAGATTTAGTTGTAAAAAATGTTTTTTGTGCAAGGATACTAATTTTAGTGTGCTTTGTTAATTCAATTGTGTATTTTTATCAGTTTAATATTGATTTAATAAACATTTGTGCAATTATCGCAGGACCTACAAAATCAGTAGCACCATCTATTTATTCTACTGGGCCTGTGCTTTCAGAAAATATATGGTTTGGGGGGTCTTTTACAAACGCTAGCAAAGCAGCATTAGAAAATCAAAACAAGGGGAAAAAATTGCAAAAATGGTGTGGCCAGCTGAGGTTAAAAGTGTTCCGGAGGGCTTGGCAGCGAAAGGGTTAATCCTGTTGAGACTTACAGGGAGTTGCATGCTCTTCTAGAATTTCAATAATTAATTTAAAAATATCCCATGACCCAACAAGAAGGGAATGATTATCTTAACAGCATGATATCACCACCAAATGCAGACTGCGCAGAAAAAAATTAAATGTGTATTTCTCTTTTTTATAATAAACCTGCCTTTATTTAATTGTACAACCTTTTCCCCAACGCTGTTTCAGCACGCTGACAGTAAAATATAAATTACTGAACTGAAGGAATACATTGAAACAATGAGTATGTGAAATGACCTGAATACTTTTTCTTCCATTGTGTTAGCCAGCTTACTAAAATTAACTTTCTTAACAGAAAAAAAAAAACCTGTTTAAAAGCAAGATCTGAGGTTCTCTTTTAGAAGCGAAGCTCAACATTAAAAAAAAAAAGAAAAAAAAAGAAAATCAAAAACTATTCAGATATAACATAATAGGACTTTCCATAGGCATGAGACATGCACACATTAATAGTTCACAAAATCCCTTAAACGCTGTATTTATCCAGCAGCTCCATGTGCCGATTCAAATATATCCATCTTCATGCTCAAAATAAAGAAGGAAAGTTTGAAAGATGTCCATAACTGCGCCACACCAAGAGGTTAACAGCCTTGGATGATCAGGAGGTTCCTTGTCTCTTTTGCTGCTGACTTCTAATGACATCCAGCTGTTTCTTGCATTGCTGATAATAAGTAGAAAGACTTTTGTTTTCATCTAAAAGCTTTTTGTGTTCCTGTACCAGGCGAGATGTATTTTGTTGGTCTTTTTCATCCTGGTCTAGTTCGGCTATTAGCTCTTGCCTAGAATAAGGCACAAAAGATAAAAGAATAAATGTCACAATTCGAACACAGTTAAAGCCCAATAAAAGGTATTCACACAAACACTAGCTACTTCCTGTAGGGAATTACACCCCCCCCCCTAAAAACAACAACAAAATATGAAAATACAAGCATCTTCAAGCAGGATATGTAAAGTGTATGCCCAGGGGAAAAAAAAACACACACAATTTGTACATCTCTGCAGAACATGCACATTTCACAATGTTTGTCTCTGGCAAGTACAAAAAATTGAGAAAGTCCGTGGCATGGCAGACAAAATGTGGTGATTAACAAACCCACTGTGATCCTCTCACTCTCCTGTTGAGCTCAGGCATGATGACGTTTCCCCCTTGTCAGTGTCCCGGCACCATGCCCTCCCGCTTGTGATACCAGCTGTTTCTGAAGTGCTCATCTGTGACCCACGTTGGCCGGATGATTTACGACTCAAGGCAGATGGTGGGTCTCTCCCTTGTAAAGACAGAATGGCATGTGTGGTGTGAACCTATTGAGAGGTGATGTTGCGTGTGTTAAGCAACAGTTTGGAATAATGCACGGCTGACAGCTTAGATGTTATGCATTACAAATGCTCCGACTCAGCTGACTGCTTATGTAAAATGCTCCAAATGCATTTCCGCCTAATGTTCTTGCAAATTCTGACAGACTATACTATGCTGTAGCATCCATGTGTATGCTCATTGTTTTTGTCCAAGACAAACTGTCAGCACATTGTTTTAGAGTGCCATATTCTCCTTTGGAATACAAGGCTCACTATTGAGTGTTTACATACACTTTGGATTCAGCTACAATGTTATATAGTGTGCTTTCTTGGTGCTGACACTGCATATATGGAAACCGATGTGTGTGGGAGTGAATGGTAACAGTTGAATGACAATGTTGTCATTTGTTTTAGTACACATTGGGAGGTTTCTTTTTGAGAGGAATCTTTAGCCACAAGTTATTTGGTATCTATATTGTTGCAAACAAAGGATTATTGATTCATGGCTGATCCAGTAGCTTTCTCTATTGTCCTTTTATATGTGTATTTGAGTGGACTGGACGATATTACTATACATTTTCTACACTTGTTTGAAAGATTCTACTCTACATGTAGGAGCTGTTTTTATTTTGATGAAGTACAGAAAAATACCTGCTGATCCTGCCAGGAGTTCAGTGAACTCCTAACTTACTTTTTGAGCTGACAAATCCCAAACAGTGTTTTCAGCCCAGTCTCTGCGCTCCCTTGCTGGAATACAGAACATCTCTCCCCTATGTCATGGGGAGTGGTCTGTAATCGGGCAGGTAAGAACTAGGCAGGGCTGACAACACTACCTGGGAATTCAGTGCAGCAGACGTACTGTGCTGTCAAAGAGGAAGTTAGGAGCACATTAGATTTCTTGCAGATCAAAAGCTATTTTTGTACTTGCAGTGTTTTTCAAGGGATAAAGCATGGGAAAATGCGCAGTTTTTGCAGAGATGTCCGGTTTTGTTTTATTTATTTTGCCCAGACACACACTTGAATATTTTCTGCAGCCTGAAAACAAGACCAACAGGAGAAGCATATGTAGATTGCACAACTCCTATTTTTTGTTTAGAGAATCCATAGCCGACGCAGTAATAAAGCTGGAAAATTCCTTAGCAACTAGGTGCCAATGCTGCCCAATGCATTGTGTTCAAGTATCCACAAAAAAGGAAATCAGAGCCCCTAGTGGACACGGGTATCATTGACATAACTCTTCTCCTAACCCCTTCCCGACCGATGGAATTACCCCGTCACGATCGTTGAGTTCGTTAATGACCAGTGACGGGATAATTCCGTAATTCGGTAAAATGAGCACTGTTCCATGAAGGGACCAGCAGCTCATTGAATTACTGCTGTTGATGGGTCCCTTGTGGTCCGAGGCAGACCCTCACAGCGAGAGCTGATTGCTGTGATCGCAGAGCCGTGACAGCCACACAGCTAACAGCTGATCACTGTGTGTGGATCTGCTAGCCCCAGGTGTGTGTTACAAAACTGATACAAAATATCCCTCAGAGATACTGAAGTTCAAAGCCCCTGTAAATAAATAAATACAAATAAAAAAAACCACCATTTAGTGTCCCCTAGTTTAAAAACATTTTTTAAAAAGAAAAAAAGTTTAAAAAGTAAAAAAAAAAAGTTTAATAAATTTTTTTTTAAAGAAAATATATAGTGCCGAGGAGGCTATTAAATATAGGAGAAAAACGTACCACATTCTAAAATTGTTCCACAGAAAAATTGTATTTCACTCCTTGTATTTTTTGTGACCTAAAACTCCCAAATTAAACCGAAATCACAGACATATGATATACCCTATGAACCAACACAAATAAAAGAATAATGAATTACCTTCTTTTAGCGACACTAATTGTGTACACATTATTATTGCCAAAACTGTGAAAAATGTTGCTTTCATTTTTGTGTGTGCATATTTTGGTATTTTTTTTATATACTGTATGCATTTATGTCACATCAACTGAAAACATATTTTGTCCTTTTAAAAAACAGTATATAATGTGTGTATTTGTAATGCATGAGGAAGATGAAAGGATGGCTAAACAAACACATAGCAAAAAAATGGCAAAATTGCTCCGGTCCCCAGAAGCAACAAAAAGTTCTGAAGCTGTGTCACTAAGGGGTTAAACATGTACTGTAAATCATGATTCAGGAAACATGCCCTGAAAAACTGTTTCCCAACCTACATGTTGTATTAAAACCCCTTTTGTAAATATACTTTCATTTGTGAAATTAGTCAAATATATGAAATGCTGAGGAATGCAAGTGGCCATACAAGGGAGAGAAAAACAAATCGGATTTCTCTGCAAAGTGACTGGGAATGCATGAAGTGACTTCTAAATGGCACCAAAATAATAAAGAGGTGCTCATAGTGACAGTGATGGATGGCACCGTGCAGAAATCACAAGTGGAAGAGCACTCCATAAATGTGATATAATCAACGAGATTTATTCACAAAGAGTCACATAAGTAAACAATCCAACATTTCAGGACCGCACAGGGTCTCTTCTTCAGGGCCACAGTCACAAAACTTTGCATTGTTTACTTATATGATGCTTTGTGAAGAAATCTCAGATTCTCTCCATTTCACATTTATGCAGTGCTGGTGACTTCTCTTCCACTTGGGAATGCATGGGAACACTTTAAAAAAAATATATTTCAAAAAAAAGAACCGCAGTGTTGTGGCACTTTAGATAGAAAGGGTTCTTAGCAATTTTCATGTTAGCTTACACAGAAAACACATGAATAATATTAAAGTGTAAAATCTAAAAAACAAACTGATAAAATCTGCTACAATATATACAAAAAACCTGCTACTTACTTTCGCTGCAGCAATAATGCAATTTCCGTTTGAACCTTCATATACTCTTGTGCCATTTTGCAGTGCTGCTCAAACACAGCCATAGATTCCTTGGAATTTGGACATGGCGCGAGAGGCTGAAAATAAAACAGACGTGATAAAAACCAATCAACTAATTTCGGAATATACATCCTGCTAAAATGTGCCCGAAATATTTTGATGCCAGTGAGCCCTTAAAAATAAGCTGTGCCTTCTGGAAAATCTTAGTGTTTAGTTTCTAAACTTGATAGGCCCGAGTGCTGTTGTTCTAAAAGACTTTGTAGCTAAAATAACTGGAAGCTGGCCTACCACCCACTCAAAAACCTTGGTCATCTGACAAAAGGTGCTTGGGGACTGTTACTGCAGCAGAGTCAGCTAGCCAATTTCTGTACTTGAATAGGAGTCTTCCTCATCAGAAATGAACACATGATCTATGCCTCGGCAGTAGTCACATGACTTGCTGTTGGAGGGTACCCCAATTCCAGTTATTACAGCAAATTCTAGGACCGTTCTAAAAACACTTTAATGGACCTTGAACGTAAGCCTGCATTTATTTTGAGTATAGGTCCAAATAGTAAGTGGCCATCCACAATGCCCCAGGGCTTCTGCAGTGGAGATATACTAGCTATAATATTTGACGTGTCAGGAAAATTAAATAAATGTGCTGTGCACTGTAGTATTGACTTGTTGGGGTTTGAAGGAACCAGTTGTATGATAAATGCACCGAAGCACAAAATAATTCTTGGTAGAAAATTGGGGGAACACACACACACTAAGTCAGTGCAAATGCCTTTCCTGGCCAGGGTAAACTACTAAAAGTGTTTGCAGTGAGCCAAGATAAATTTGGATTTACTTTTACCTAAATAATGGTGATATTGGATGATTTAAACTTGTATTTCACAAACCTGCAATTGATGGTCGAGTGTAAGATATGCCATTGGTATAGAGTTATCTGATCCATTGGTATCTGAAACAAATGTAGGTATTGGAAGGATGCAGTGAGTCTAGCATACATTATGAAATAACTATTAAAATGTCATTAACTTTTTTCATATCCTGGGTGGAAGTCTTTCTCAATATACACCTTATACGTCGGTCTCCGTACAAACATTCATAAATGTAAGGCAATGTATTTGTGGGCAAGGATAGGTATGAATACTGCAAGGATAGGTGTAACTTTTGGTAAACACCAATAATTTGATTCTCATCAACAAAATATCAGATTAGGGTGGACTGAACATTTTATTGGTAAACTTAGCAAGAGGGCATTACTTCTCTAGCTCTGAAACAATACATTTTCTGCATTTGCAGAATACATAAGTACATCATGCAATTCAAGTTCACTATAATAAAACTGTACCCAGCCAAATGTTACATTTGCATTTTTTGCCAAATTACAAATTGAGCAGTTTTACCATTACCATTAATATAAAGTATGTACAGGTGAGCATACTATAAAAGGTATCTGCTTACCTGAATCTTCGGGACCCCATAGAATACCACGTGGAGGTTTATCAGGGGTTGGTCCCGAGGTAGTAATCATCCTCACACTAGGGCTTGAGGATCGGCTGCTACTTCTACTCTCCTAAATGGCATACAAGAAGAGCAAAATATAATACATTACAAGATTAGAGCTCAGGTTAATTCTGAAAACAGCCATTTACATTGGGTATGAAAGTGGCAATGTCATTCAAACAGCCATGGACAACAAGCATATGGCAACTGCATGGGGTACTGCTAACAAATGCTGGCAGGCTATCAGATGATGCAGAACAATCAAACTAGTTTTATGTTGTGCCATCCGTCCGTTGGACTTGTCCGCCCTTGGCATCATTCCAAATATTTAATTTATTTCTATAGATGCTACCTATCTGGATACTGAGAAGATTTTTGTACAATAACAATGGCTGCTTATCATCATGGAGACCACTAAACTCGCTCAAAACCTCACGTAAACCGTAATACTTGTGCTAGTTTATTTTCACACTTTAAGAATATTTTGAAAATGATTTTCAACTATTGTTGAATGACACATGGAAAGATGAAGAGGATAAAGTTCAGTGAAGGCAAGTATTCCAATGTATTAACTATATATGTTTATGTGTAGATAAATAGAAACAAAAGCTATAAAAAGTTCCAAAAGTAAACATTACAACAGAACTATACCGACGGCCAAAAAGTACGATGGTTGTCATTTCCTCTCTTCGTTCTTTAATCCTACATATATATATTATAGCATCATAAAAAATATACCGGTAAGTGGTGTTGTGTATATTATATGTTTCGCTATCTGCTATTTATCCACATTATTAGATTTACATATATAATATAGCACAGGTTTACTTTAACAAATTGCAGGGATAGTAAATGTGTTGATATTAGGAGTGTCATTCCATGGGTGAATGCTTCTACTGCCTAATGTTATGTTGAGATGGTTATACAAACCTTTCAGAATTTGAAATCAGTAAATATGGCTGATCATAAAGCTATGGCTGGCCAAAATCAATGTTCTATAACTTCAGCTTACATAAAACAGGATAAAATCAGTGCTTTTTACATTACTTCACAGATGGGAAACACAAATAAAAATCTTAGCATCCACAATCAATTTGAAATATCTGGAGAACAAGGAAATGCATTTACATATTCATCCAGGCTACCACTGTGTTCCTTACCTGACTGGATTCAGTTCCAATAATGCTGACGTCCTGAACAGATCTGCGCCTCTGCTGCCCGTTGCCTGCTGGATAACAAACAAAAATGATTTGGCAAATGCTGCCCTCGCATTCAAAGAAAGGGTGGAAGTTGTGGAAGCTTGAAAGCTATACATGTCCATAAGTCGAAAGAAACTCAGGAATGGACACAGGGCACGACAGACAGCTGCAACATTTCAAATGGAGAAGCACTGGCCAACTGACTGACTAGATCACTAGACAATAACCACTCCCATGACATGAACAGCAATTCTCTCTTCCACCATCTTCAGTGCATCTGCTGTCCAGGGCTGATGACGGCATCTATTTCCAGGACCTTGCGTGATAAGGATGCTGACCTAATGTATCTACAGCAAAACTTTACATCTCTGAACTGCTTTCACTTTACCTTAGTGAATACATGCCAAACATATGTCTTCCTTTTATCCTGTAGCTAAAATAGCTTTAACCCGATAATGACTGCCACTACCGCTCTCCCAGTTTCCCAATATCAGATCTCACCATCAATATTTTAGAAATATAGTAAGCATCCACTCCTGCCCATCACCTGCTAGCAGAACTCAAACTTCTGCCATCTGTGCTTTCAATAATAAAGACACATTTTGGCACAACGTAAACCTATGGGAGGAGGACATGTAAACCAACAAGCACATTTACAAGCATTTTATTTTTAAACAGAGCATTACGTAATGTTTGTTTTGTGTGAAGAAGGGAGATCAGTTAGCAGAAGGGAACCCCTGGATTGTTTCAAGCAACAGCTGAGACAATGCTCTGAATTCTTTCATTCATCACAACTCACAATTGCATAATGTTTCATAGTAGCTGTTCATTAGGTCAAACAGTTGCTGTGGATTCCACCCCAAGCACTGACAGTTTCTAGAGTCACCACAAACTCGTCTCATCAGTTTACCCTTACAATACACAACTTATTCTAAACATTATAGTATAGTGGAAAATCCCAATGCAGAAGGTCACGTTTTGAAATACAATTCCAACAAAAAGATATTCTTTTAAGTTAAAAACATAAAATAGACAGAGACACAGGTAGGTAGGTCTAAAAGTCTGAATCCATCACCAACAACTGTGTTTATTTCTTCATTTATAGAAAACTAGTACACATTTACCAAAATGATGTTTGCAGGCTTTGAAAACATATTTGAGCTCTCCGTAAAGCATCACATAGACGGTATCAGGGATGTGTTAATTTAAATATGTTTTGGCTTTTAGGTTTTTTATTTCCACATACATTGGGATGTGCCTGAATCTGAATGCTTTCTCACAATCAGAAACCTAAGGTCACATGGGATGCACTTTATGAAACTTAACTGTAGACACGACCACTGATTTTGATTATATGCTTTCTAGGACTGCACTGAAAGGCCTAGCTGCATAAAAATCATTGAAATTCATAGAATCATTAAATTTCAAGGCATTGAATTGAACACATATGGAAAACATGGAGAACAAAAGTAGCCACCCTCCAGAAGGAAGGACAGTGTCAAATCAGAGATGATTTGAGGATCCACAGCAAACTGATACATAAATAAGCTACATTTTTGTTAAGGTACTTGAATGCATTTTTAAGATTTAACTCGAGTTTAGTGTCACTTTAATATTTGCTTCTTATGCTCCGATTGACACATTCTATGCAACGAAATATTCAAATAAAAAAAAGTTCTCAAAGTGCAAAAAAGTTGAATCTCTTAAATCTAAAGCATGCTTTGCAGAAAGAGTGTACTTAAAAATTAGATGAAATAAACACAGTGGTTTCTTTGACAAGTTTTGTAAACAGTATGTGATTCTTGCGATTCCTTTTCCTGGGCTAAAGAAGTTCTCTAGTGTAATTATTAAACTGGAGATACCATTGAAAGAGCCAATGTGGTTCTTCATAATAAATAAGACTGCAAGTAACTAGAAGATACTATAAGGTGTCGCAACATACCTGTATTGTAAAAGTCACTGTTCCCAAAACTGTCACCTTCCCAAAATGCATATGTAAATAATTTGAAACCCATTACTACATAATCTTTAAGTGAATGCAAACTCAAAACAATAGAATTCTTTTTTTCTTCCCTTTTGATCTGTCAAATACACCAGTAAATGTTTTTTGTTATATCGCTCCTAAAGTTGATCTGTTGATCCTCCAGAAAACTAGTGAGACACTAACCTACTGCTGCACATTTAGCAGTTAGCATTGTTCCCAGCTCTCTGTTGCGTACAGAAAACCTGCCCTATGTTTTGGAGATGAGGAGGTGTTCTGTATTCCTCACACACTTTCAGCCTTATGGTAAGAATGCTGTTCCTTCATAAATCTAGCATGGTGTGTGTGACTATTGTCACCCCAGGACAGGAAGTCTGTTACTAGCAGGATCACCAGATTAAAAAAAAAAAAAGGGCTCAAAAACAAACCCCACAGCCACCACATCTGAGGACTGTTTTGCTGCAGCATATTCCATTTTTTTCCCCTTGAGCTTAGTTACATTTTAAGAATGTTCTCTGTGACAGAACTTGGGCCCAGCAATAAGTGTCTCAAACACCAAGCACTACCTTGTGGGAGAAAATGTGCCTACTCTCTAAATTTCTAAACATTCAGAGCGTTTCAGGAGCTCGCGTTGTGATCTTTAGAAATAGAGGTATGCTGTTGCTCCGCTTATGGTGCTTTCTAACTAACTGCAGTCCTAGTTAATGTGTGGCCATTCTAAGGGCCAAAGAACCACAACATGATAGTATTCTCCCAGTACATACACCTCAGCCAGCAACCGCACTGCTCTAAAATTAGCAGGAATGTAAACATGGCAGAAATATTTCTCGTTCCTTATGTGAGACACAAACACTTGTGAATCTCAAGATGCACATGCTGAAAAGGAATGAGAAATGAAGTCACAATTGTCAGGGAGGGGGTCAAAGAAAACCAAGTGACAATAGTAAGTGCGTGCTATGCAATTGATTAGTGTGTTTAGTAGAGGACGTTTATTTTGGACATGGCATGCATGTTATTTTAAACTCTGCTTAAACCCACTAATAAGAGAAGCATTAACAATCAGAATCAAACACTTTTTGCTCCAATTATGTGCCAGTCACAAGTGTTCATCTCAGAAGGAAAAAAAATTTGCATTTAAAGCTTTAAAATCAAAAAGCTAAACTGTACCATAGAAGAGATAGAAACAAAGGGCTTTTAGCTGGAATGCTCTTAATAAACCAGAGAGGTATTTGTCTGTGAAGGTTCTCATTCATCCAGGTCATAGTATATCTGTAAAAAATAAGTCAAGGCAACTGGACTTGCTGTATTTGTTTTTGAAGATGTTTCACTAGACATCGAACCAGCTTTCTCAAATTTTTTTTTGTACAAGTTATTCTGAATTGAGAAAGCTGGTTGGATGACCAGTGAAAAGTCTTCAAGAAAAATACAGCAAGTCCAGTTGCCTTGACTTATTTTTTACAGATACAGAGAGGTATTTGTCCAATAAAATGTGCCTGGCTCATACATGTTAAAAAAAACCCCTGTCATTACCTTGTACTCCTTAAGCTAAAGGCAGGCAGGGAATCTGTATGAAGACTACTTGCAGAAATCCTGCCTGCTGCAGCAATGTGCCTGTGATCGACAGAAATATTTGTACTGCAATCCTCCACTATTCGGGGAGGGTCAGTAAGAGAGGCACCACCCAGATACCGACAGATCTACTTTACTAGTACAGATTCTACTTTAATAGTAATGGATTAGCAAATCATGTAAACATATTTTCCCTCATGTGTTACATGTAAACAGTGAAAAGAATGTTCACCACTTCAGCTTGTATAAGAGCTGCGTGTACAACAAGCTTTCTGGAAGTTTCTAGCTAGATCTGAGCAGCTTTGTTGTTGAACATTGTTTGTTGTGGAACTACATTTCGTTTTTCTTCAAATTTGGTAGCCTGCCCCCCCCCCTCTCTCGCCCCTCCCTGTGCACCAACCCTGTCCCCGGCTTCCTCCTTGGTCCTCTTAGGGCAAAATGACAGTTATATAATTCTGCCCATATCTACATAGAAATACATAAAGCAGACACAAGCATTCTACCCTAAATACAGTAGAGTAAAAGTTCCTTATAGAATTATGAGGTCTTCAAAAGAAAAAGAAAAAAAACAAAAAGACTTGATACCATACATCTGAAAATGCTGTTTATAGGCATCTAAAGTATATGTCAGAATCCAGAGTACTTTGCCCATAAGTAAGAATCACTGGAAGTAAACTGTCATTTTACTTTGACAACCAAGGTAAACATGAACATGAATCACATGACTTTTAAAACTACCTTTGTATATACAAATTTACTTCACAGAAGGCAGTAGTCAGTCATTTGATACTATAACAGTTGGTACTTCGTGTTGAAAACAAGGCACATGTCAAAAGTTAAATAAAAGTGACATAGACTGGACACAGGTTGGAGCAAAACGCATTTAGTTTTCTTTATGTCATTAATGTTTGGCTTGATGTGCCACTACCATTCTGTAGTACCTGTTATGATGATCTCAGGGACATCCAGAATATTGCCAAATGAAGCAGTTTTACGGTGGCCTCGTTTAGGCTTGGTATATGCTGCAAAAACATATACACAATACACATGCAGACAACAAGTGGTACAAAACACAATTAACAAAAGCATGGAAGTGTACAGCACAATGTTACACAATGAAAGTGCGTGCAGAAAAGAACCGTGCTAGGTTTCTGCATTTAATGGAAACAAAATGAAAAAAGAAAAAAAAAAAACAAAAAAGAAAAACATAGATGAGCATGCAAAATACAGCACAAGACACAAACTTATAGTAATACAGACAAAGTCTACCTGGAATGGTTAGTTATGGACTGCCCTAACTGGAAGCTGTGATGAAAATCTTTACAAATATCAAAAAGTCCTGTAGCACAACCTTACCGGAATTCCCATAAGCAAAAATGGGTGCTCGTAGTGACTGCGGATGGCGCCGCATCAAGCAAAGTTTGTAAAGCAATGTCACCAGCACACCAACATGACAAACACGTTAATTTCAGTGAATCTTCATTTTTTTATTTTTCAGAAGTCACTCAAAGTAGAATTAAGCGCTTTCGGGGCCACATAGGGTCCCCTTCATCAGGCTTAAAGTGAACCAAAGCCTGATTTTAAGCCTGATGAAGGGGACCCTGTGTGGCCCCGAAAGCGCTTGATTGGTTGGTGTTCTGGTGACATTTCTTTACGAAAATCTTTACAAGTTACAAAAGTAATAGGTTACACATTTTTTTTGTAATAACTTGACGTAAAATGACCTACCTATTTGCCGATTTAAAACTCTTAAAAATAAAATAAAATGTAAAAACTGTGCAACACTAGCAGAATCCTGTGCTTGCATACAAGGTTTAGATATTAAAAGGAGAACTATGGGGTCAGTGCTTTTCCCCATAGTTCTCCTAAGGGTCACAGGAGGACACAAACTAGCGTACTCCCATGACCCAAAGCTCAGTATACTGCGAGCTACAGCTCGCGGTATACTGAGACGTCGCAGCCGGGACGGATCCCAACATTACTGTCGAGATCAACCCAGCGGCATGACTGACAGCTGGCTCTGCCTATCTAGAGGCAGAGCTAGCTGTACCCGCCCCTTCCCCGTCCGTTCAGGGTATGTGTTCTCTCACTTCCCGAACTATTAAACCGATGTGTGACTATCATTGTCACACGGCGGCTCAAACTATGAGGCTGAGTGATTTTCACCCACCTTATAGTTCTCCTTTAAGTTAATACTTTACAGAAATGTACATTTCCAGATGACTGCAAGTAACTGAATCATGGAACAATATATAGATGAAATCTGTTACAGACCTGTGCAGCTCAAATGGAGCAGTAACAAAAATGCACCTCAAACCTATCAACAGATTCAGAGACCTCAGCACTACAAATTATAGGTAAATCTCAACTTTTTCTATTAATATCAAATATAACCCTGCCTCCTTACATCTGTCTTAGTTTTGTAATGAGCTGGTCGGCCCATTTTGCCCAACAGGAGGGCAGATCTGAAATGTTTATAGGACTTAAGCTGCCTATAATAACTGGATATAGTGTTCATTTCAATGTGTTTTTTTTTTTTTTTTCACTGAAGGTAACTTCAGCTTACTTTTATTATATGTTTGGTATGGATTGCCTAGGTTTGCGACAGCTGATTTTTTTTTTATACCTATATCTTAAATTCAGCTTTTTACTGTGCAATTGCTTTACAAGATATGGGTCAATGCCTCAAAACTAATACTTTAGACTTAGGTAGGCGACACCAAGTTGAGTCAGCCTCTCCTCTGGGTTCTTGTATGTAGCAGGGGCTTGCGTAGTGAGATGTGCAACCTGCAGAGCTTACAAAACCTAAGTTTCCTAAGAATGCTGTTGGGTTTTGTGTAGCACTTCTCCATTGTCTAAACCTTGGCAAATACCTGCTATTTTCAGCATTGCACTGCTGCCATTCTCACCTCTCTATGAACTTTGCAGAATTTATGCCATATTATGCGGCTATTACTCCAATGCTTTTCTCTGTTGGTTTATCTTTTATAGCAAATTAATGGCACTTAAGAGTTAGTTGGTTGCCATTATTGTCGTTATGTGCCTTAGACACACTGTTTTTAACTGTGATTTTTATTCCTCTTTTATGTGTTCTATTTGTGAGTTTTCATTAGATGTTTTTCATGTGCCATAATAAAACAGTTTGCTTAGTACTCGTTTTGTTCTGTTCCACCATTCAACCATACAAACCCATAGCTATATTACACCTGGGTGTTATCATTGTTTCCCTGGTTGAAATAACCACATTTCATTTAACCAGAGGTTTCCAGTCTGTTTAGTTAAATATTGCTGCACACAGACACAATGGTATTACAGCTGCTACAAAACGTGTACCATCTCCTACAATGTGAGGCTAAGCTAAGGGCATCACATTACAAAGAATTCCTCAGACTAAAATATAGCATTGGCCAACCAAATCAGGGTTCAAATTCAGTTGTTTAGACAAGCACATTTTGTTGTTGTGCAACAAACAAGTAAAATAAAAAAGATCTAATAAGCCAACACTCCCCCCACCCAAAGAACAAAAACAAACTCATAGATAAGGTATGACCAGACTGCTGCTTTTTTAAGTCACATGTAAAAGAAAAGAAGCAGAGGACCGAGATGTTTTTGAAAGTAATACATTTTAATTAGGGATGTTGAGATACCAAGTACCGTACTCGGTAAAAGTACAAGTACAGATACTTTTCCAGCTCCAAGACTAGAGAAACATTCAAAAGTTAGGAGGCAGCTGTCATTTGTAAGGAGCACACAGAGCTCCTGGGATTTGTACATCTCTGTTTTAATATATATATATAAAATGGAGCGCCAGAGCCAGGTCCCAGCTGCAAGAACCCTGTTAGTTCTCGTGAAAATGACAAGTATCTGCACTGGTATCTGAACATCCCTCATTTTAAACATAGAATTTGGTTTGGCAACTAATAGACTTATCAAGTTATTATAGGGCTTTGCTCTGAAAATTAAGAGGACTTTATAGATGTTTAAATATTTTCTTCATTTTATCCATTACTTCAAAAAATAAAAAAAATGTTTCCAGTAAATATAAAAGAAAAGAAATTCAGAAAAATATGTCTTATTCACTGCCAGCTGGAGACTAGAGCTCTAAAGCAAGTCTCAGAGAGCAGTTGTTTATTTAACCCCTTCGTGACTGACGACGTACAGTGTACGTCGCCAGACAGAGTAGGTAAACACTTCTCTCTTCCTTTACTAGAATACCCTAAAATACTGCACCTACAAATAAAACATTCTTACTTGGCCTATGTGAATTAAGTCATAGCTTTGGCATTTCTATTATATTTTATGCTCGTCTATTACCTGTGCTTGCAGAAATCCTTGATTCTGATTCTGACATGTCGGCACTCATCCTTTTACTCTCAGATGTAAGTATTGAAGGTGGCTTTCCTCGAGTATCAGACAGGCTTTCAACACTGCTACCTCGAGAAGGTGGCAGACTCAAGCGGCCTTGTTCCCCCTAAATAGGGATTATTAGAAAATGTTTAGAAAGAACTCCCAGGTAATTAGGCATGCAGGAAAGAACTCGATCATACAAAACATCTAAGTAAAGGTGGGTACAGAAGTGAAAAAAAGTCCTAAGAAAAACTCAACACATCTGCATTTCATATGAAAGATCTCTCCCAAAAAAAAGCAACATTACCAAAAATCAACCAGCTTGTTTTAGTGGCATACTCTTTTCTTTTTTGGTCAGGACTTAGAACAGTGGAAGGGATAACAAACATCTCCTATATGTCAAGTATTTTTCTTATTTTTATATACCAGCCTGTGACAGTCTTATGTGTTTTGCTGCAGAAGCTGTAAGTAAATGGCAGGCATTAGATAAATGAAAGGATCCATCTGTAATTACTTTAGGTACCTAGCTAGCTAGTGATGTAACATTCTACGGACATAGGGGTCTATTTATATTTTCACCCAGGATTTACACATTTTCCAAATGAAATTAGAAAAATGTGTGACTCTTGGATGAAAAGTTTATAAAAATCGACCCCATTATGTATATCACATGTAAATGGCATCTTCTAATCCTCCAAGCGGAACAGAGGAGAGAAAAAAAATCATAAAGCTCAATCAATTAGATTCAAAGCTTCCATCTTTAACACTTTGGGAGATGTGGTTACCTAAAAAATATAATTGGATGGAACTACTTTATTATCTTCAATTCATTATTATATACTGTGGTAAAATTATCTACTTTGAAAGTGCAACTTTGTCTGAAAAAAAAAGAAAAAGGTTAAGCAACCTGATAAAATGATCAGAAACATATGCTAAATATCTCATATAAAAAATCAGACTGAACGTTTAACAGATAGAGAATAAAGGACAAAAACAGATATACTTACGCCTTGCTTGGACTGATTATTCCAGTGTGCCAATTTGGACTCTATTCGTTTGATTGTATCATTGCTTGCACTAACCTGGAATTCCTCGATATCACTCTTATTGCTTGTATTTGTAGAATTAAGATCAGTGCATGACCCTGTGGAGAAGTGAATACAATACATTATATCTAATAGAAGGAAAATATTGCAAACAGCTGACACTATAATACAAGCTTCAGACTGAGCCCACAAGGAAGGTGCAAGCTGACCTTCCACACTATAAGGAAGTGTTGAAGTGTATTTCCGCTTTTCCAGCCAAATTGGGATAAAACCTACTTTATATTTGTTGCATGTTCCTAATCACGTAGCATAACATAAAAAAAATATTGCAGCTTACTTTTTTGGGATGTTCATTGTGCTAACACCAGGACTGAAAAATCCTGCTTAGTTCTTACTGTCTAGGGGGAGGTTTGCTTCAAATAATTAACCCTGCCTGTACTGTTTTGACTGCAAAAGTGGTAATACATATTGCAGAAATACATAGATATGTGGAATAAAAGTTGGTTCTATATACTGTACAGATAAGGGTGCATACACATATGCATATAAAGAAAATACTGAGCAGTGTATGTATAATGATGGTGGATACATATTCTAATATTACTTGTGCATCTTAGATACCTACCTACCTACTGTCCATGTTCTCCTGTAGCACGGAACATTGTGCATTAAATGTACTATATATTTATGCTGCATTTGTATGATGTTAAAATGGTTTATAGTGTGACCTTTGGGAAAGGTATCAAAAACAAAGATTGTACTGGCCTTACAATTAGTTATTGTATTCTGATTTTAATGTGATTTATTAATAAAATATGTATATTATTATGCATGATATATGTACCTTTAATGTCCCCAAAAAATGTATTGGCTGGGTTTCTCTAGCAGTAGCATGGATACTATGTACTTTAGTACGTCTTTAGTGGTTTGGCACCTGTGGAATACATACATCTAGTATTGCAGATGCCAACAGTCCTGTTGCATTTTCCCTAGTGTCCACATATTCGTTTAAATCAATCTCATTAACAGGATTTGAGGTCAAGTTAAAAAACACATAAGGGAAACATCTTTAACTGCTACACACAACATCTTTGCCATTCTCAGCAGTTAGTTTCAAAAGTAACCATCAATTGGTACATGTAGCAAAAGGAGAGAGCACTAACCTGTACTTGTGGCAGAATTGCTTTGCCCACCATCAGAATACTGACAAGGATACTGCAAAGCTTCATAAGCACCAGGAAAATACTAAAATGGAAAAAGAAATAACTTATTTCCAAATGAAAAGGTGAACTTTTAGAGAAAAGAATAAAATAAAATTATATATAAGTGTAAATGTTTCAATTAAAAAATGCAAATGTTTACTTTGCCTATTACGCTATTAAATTTAAACACCAGCTCAACAAAATAAACTTCAGTTTTGTGACATTGTTGGATGCATCATTTGTTGGCTTCTTACATCCCTTGGAAAGCAGTAAGACATCCACACATTATTGTGAAAGACATCCACTACAAAATTCCCAGCTTTCCAGAAGAGATATTACATAAAGTGCACAAAACGATTCATTTCCATTGCTGATAACTTTGCCATGGCAAAACGAATATAACATTTAAAAAAAGGCAATTGAGGGACACAGCCTGATGATTTAGACACCTAGGGTTTTACTATCACCTACAAGAGAAATGGACACTAGGCACAGGGAAACTGAAGGTCTGTCACTTTAAGGCTATAACCCCTCCCACCTGCTCAGTTTTGCTTTGTGTCCTTTAGGAGAGTAGACAGCTTTTCTTCAGATCTGCTGTGTTCTGTTCATTTGGAAGATTTGCCCATCAACTACTGGTAGATTTATGCAGATTCATACAGTTAGTGCAATGAGTGCAGGCTTCCCCAGCTCATTTAGTATACAAGTGTTCTCTCTGTGATGGTCTCCAATCGACACGGAATACCCACCTTTGCCCAGTTTGCAGAGGTCTCCACTTTTAGGTTAGGCCAGTATGTCTTGGGTTTCCCTCTGGAGTTATCAGGCCAAAACTGTGGCAGTGATCCTGTCTCCATCTCTGATATTTCACTGCTTTGAGTACCTGGCAGGCGTATGCTGTATTGAGGTCTTTCTTCTGTTTGGTTAGGAGGAGATATGTGGTATTTCCTAGAAAAGCAACTGTAGCTGACTGGCCATTTTGTGAAAGATTTAAAGTTCTCCTTTTACTTCTCGGCTCACATTTAGTTTCAAGTTATTTGCTTTCTGGACACATTTGGGAAGCCTCCTTTTTATTTCAACTCGGGCTACACAATGGAAGAGTTTACACTTGTAACTGTAGAACGGCCAGGCTCTGCTCCCAACAACCATTTTAATATTAACGACTTTTTTTTTCTAGCTATACTATGCGATACAGCTCTAATATGGAGGTAGCACATGGGTACGAGCACACAATGGACATTTTGCTTTCAGATGTTTCACCACATAATGGCTCTCCTCCTCTACCAGTAAATGCTGCAGTCAGTACACGAATGCAAAAAGACAGTGCATTCTAGTGAATACAGCAGCCAATGCTTGTGGCACCCAGTGCATTCTATAAATAAGGTGGACAGTGCTACATAGGTCCTTTCTCCTCTGCGAGCAAGCACTTGGGGCTTGGCGGCTTGCAGCAGCACAATTCTGAGGTTACTGTGTTCCACCTACACTGACCAGGTTACTCAGTCAACCTCCGTATTCCCTCTGGTGCACTTCGAAAATGCTGGTAGTAAGCATTAAAGGAGGAGTGGATTAGTTCCTTTTCTAATAAGGGGAATTAGCATTATTATTAATTTTTTGCAATATCTCTGGCGTTAAACGGGAAAGTAGTCACCCTGCCGTTGCAAGCATCCTACAAACTTGTGGCCCAATTTGCTCAGTGAGCTTGGTGAAGCAAACACTGTACCTTCGGCACCGTTACTACTTTGCGTAATTTTTGCCTGTGGTGTCAACTACCGCTGACCCTTCTTTCAGCAGGCACCGATTTCTTTCTAATCTGGCATGTATATTCCACTTAGAGTATTCCTCTAACATGGTGTCTGGGCTGGGTTCTACCACAATATTTACTCTTTGAATTATGTTCGCCTCCACACTCATCTACCAAACTTTAGCTTTTTGTTCAATTCCCTAAGTAGGGACTTGGCAATGGCTGGTGTTATTGACTGCGTTTACCACATGGCTGTTGAACGTAACTTTATTCTGCAATGTGGTGCTTGATGTTAGTCAAGTTATGTCTTGGGTAGCCACTTCTCTGTTCAGATCTGAAGGGCATTTTGGCTTACATGCTGATCAGTGGAGTAACAGTGTACAAAGCCCTTCTCAGTCTACCCTCAGTAGAAGACCATATTTTTTGGCTCTTTGCTAGATTAAACCATTAGTTGTTTGATCAATGCTGCGAACAGAGTAATAATACTTCTAACCAAAGCTACACACAACTAAGATCAACAACACAGGTCGACATTTTATTATCCTCCATGAAAATATGCGATGGTTCTTCTCTTTGGACTGCTTGCAACAACTGAGAAGGTGTAACGTAAGAAGGGTTATGGCCTTAAAGGGGCAGGCCTTTAATTTCTATGTGTCTATTTAAAATATACCTTTTGTTCCTCCAAGACAGGTTCCAGTTTCCAAACCCACAAGATTACTTCCACCCTATTAAGCTCTGGGGGTTCTGCGGCACTCAAATGGACCCAAGCCTACGGATAAACCCACTACTGCATGAAGATCTGCCCCCACTTTTTCCATGGCAGGTGGGAGGAAGCCTGATCAATCACCATAGGGAGGCATCAGGAGTGTTGCAGAGACAGAATCTATGCTGTCCTGGACAGAGCTTCACATCTCACAGCGATCTTTGCGGTGCACCTTCGCAGTGTGAAAAACTGGCATGAAGTTTTTTTTCAGCACACAATGTCTGGACCTGGGATAATGGTCTCTCGGGATAAATATCTGCATTGGCGGGTGCTGGATTTCTTAGAATCTTGGTTCAACAAGAAGCTGGTCAGGTTTGTTCCCAGGTTGGGGGACCAGATGGATGCCCTGGTAACAGTGGTATTAGTAAGCCTTGCTCTATGCCTTTCTGCTGCAAAAGCTATTACCTTGTCTACTTCATAGGATTAAAAATGAGCGCACACCAATCATTCTCATAGAAGTCGCATCTCTGTCAGCCCCCTCAAGGGAAAATAAAATGGGGCGGGGTGGCACCTAGGGATAACTGACAAGCCCTTGGGTACTCTGCGGTGGTGGTCTTTGCCGGTGGGCATATGCCTATGGAGGCTTCAGGAGACATGGCTCCACTGGCACAGAGACCACAGCTCGGACCGGTATAGCACCCTGTGGCTAACTCAATGCCTTGCACTATGTGCCCAGGTGAATGCCACACACAAGAGCCAGTGCCAAAAGCAACTTTACAGGCTGGCACTGCATTAGGGGGAAGCATTTGAATGAAAAAGTCTGACGTTTAAAGAAAAAAAAAAAAGTTAGATTCTCTCAGAGCAGAGAAAAAAAAAAAGTTCTCCTAAGGACATTAGCAGAAAACCAAGGCTTGTTGGGAATAGTTGGGGTTATACTGGACTGTCCTTAAAGATTTTCCAGTGTCCAATATCCTGAAGGCTAACTCAGTGTTCTAAGCATACCATTCTGTGTCCTGTGATGTACAGTGAGGACATAGGAATTTTATACTCACAGTAAAATCCTTTTCTCAGAGTCAATTGAGGGACATGGCTCCCACCACTATGCTATGGTTCTGTCTTTGGACCACTTCCTACAACTGAGCAAGTGTAAGGTATGAGGGGTTACAGCCTTCAAGGGGCAGGCCTTTAGCTTCTGTGTGTCTATTGACCATTTCTCCTGTAGGTAGCAGTGTGACCATAAGTTGCTTAATCATCATATAGCTGTATCCCTCAATGGACTTGGAGACAAGGATTTTATGGCTACATACAAAACAAAAAATCATACTTTCTCCAGCGTCTGTTTTCGCTACACTGTGATTTTGCCTCTAAGGTGACAGAATGCAGCAGTACTTCGCATTATATGCAACTGAAGAATCAACTAAGTTGCTGCATGCAGGACAACAAAACAGCCAAGTTTTTTTTTTCACGTGGGTACTAAGAAATTTGAAAAAATAATCTGCGATCGAAATCTCTCAGGAGTACATTCAGTATGACAAAAGATTCAATACATGGTAAGAGGCATATATAATTACATGCGTTTAGGAATCAATTACTATCCCTGGACGTATGGAACGTGCATCCAGGCATAGTGATTGGTTTCTAACTGCATGCAATCCTATGACATACGATTACATGCGGTGTGCAGCGGATGTCGCCTGATTGTTAACTTGAATTGGGTACAGCTGCCACTTGTAAATAGGCAGATTAGGAATTCCTGCTGCAGGTCCCTAATCACACCCAAAATATAGGTATGAATGAAGCCTAGAGGTGCCCATACACCTTACAATTATCTGCGGTCAGATGTAAAAAGTGCAACAGATTGGCCCAGGTGGAGATTACCCATCCACACAGTTAAGTGTAGATGGAGGAATCTGTTGCACCTTTTCCATCTGACCACAGAAAATCTGCAGATAATTGTAAGGTGTATGGCCAGCTTTAGGGTCATTTACTACCTTGTCTGGGTGTCACACATACAGACTATCACAAAATCAAATCTATCTTATATTACACACACACACACACACACACACACACACACACACCTGGAAAATTTATTGAGGCTACGTAGATCTTGCAGAGGGGTTAACAAACTAAAAAAAAAAGCTTGCCTGCATAAGATGTGTCATTATCTTGACAATCTCTTCCATTGAAGGTCGTTGAGATGGATCTTTTGACCAGCAGCGAGTCATTAAGCTTTCAATAGGCTTAGGTAAATTCTTAATTAGAGGTGGCCGAGTACCTGGGAATTCATATGAAAAACGTAATTAAACAAATGGATTAAAACACCTTTAAAAGCACAACTGAACTTTCAGTTAAATAAGCTAAATACATTTCAGGTGCATCAAAACAAAAGATGTGCACTCAGTTCATTTTCATTAGCAAGCAGCCATAGCCTGTTGAAAAGCTTGTCCACTGTCAAGATACCGCAGGAACGGATCCTAGATCTATGTGTCGAAGCAGCGGTTGCTCTGCAGAAGTCTGACGAACCCCCTGCCAAATCAGACTTATGACACGGCAATCAGTAAAGCTTATTCTCCCTGCTGATGGGAGAGCTGTAGGCAGGGGGCATACTGGACCTCTGCAGAGAGACCACTGCTTCCTTACAGACAAAAGAGTCCCTTTCTACAGCATGCTGGCAGAAGGCAGGCTTTTCCACCCTGGCTGTGGCTGCTTTCTAAATAAAATGAACTGCAAGACTTTACTTACTTTTTTAATCTGATAAATACATTCCAGGTGCATCAAAGGGTATGTAAATGAGTCTTTAAGGAAGAATGTGCTTTCACCAACAATGTAGTGTTTCAGGTAATAAACACAGGCTTTGAATATCTGTAATAGGCAACCTAACATATCCAGTGGACAACAGTCAGAACATTAAAAGGAAAGGAAAGTTTCCATTGTCAGCGGGTATACATTGAACTGTGATGTCATTTTCATAAAACACATCTTTTGCTTTAATCAATGATTTGTAAATGCTCCCTCTATTGGCTTTTTGCTTTGCTGTCTTTGAGTCAACAATCCTGCTAAACTACCAAGATAAAATGGGCTTTGGATAAAGCAACAAAGAATTTATAGTTTTCTATCTCTTCAGACAGACTTGCACTTGAGAAAGAGGGTAAAGCACAATTGCTATGTAAAATAAATCTTAAAAGGAGGACTATGGGGTTAAGGCTTTTCCCCATAGTTCTCCTTAGGGTAACGGGAGGACACAAACTAGCGTCCTCCCGTCACCCTAGGCTCAGTATACCGCGAGCTGTAGCTCGCGGTATACTGAGACGCCGCAGCTGAAGTCACAGGTCGGCTAGAACTATGAGGTGAGTGAAAAGCACTCACCTCATAGTTCTCCTTTAAAAAGGAGAATTATGAGGAGAGTGAAAAATCACTCAGCCTCATAGTTCTAGCCGACCTGTGACAATGAAACTGTCACAGGTCGGCTCAATAGTTCGGGACGTGAGCAAACACCGTCGCTCGCTCACTTCTCGATCCTGTCCCTGCAGAGAACTGTGACTGTCACGGTTCCCTGCAAGGATTCCTCCCACCCCTCGACTGTCCGATCCTCCAGCGCTGACTGGCGGAGCGGACGGGGGAGGGTACAGCTGGCTCTGCCTCTAGATAGGCAGAGCCAGCTGTCACTTACGCAGCTGGGTGGATCTCGACTGTAATGTCGGGATCTGTCCCAGCTGCGGCGACTCAGTATACCGCGAGCTGTAGCTATATACGGAGCTTTGGGTGACGGGAGGACGCTAGTTTGTGTCCTCCCGTTACCCTCAGGAGAACTATGGGGAAAAGCCCTGACACCATAGTTATCCTTTAAAAGGACAAGTTTTTATGTTTAGACAAAGTACACCAACTATCCCAACCTCTGAAGCTTAGTTTTCATGCTCATATATTCTTTGCAACTTGTGGTGCCTCACAGACTTGTATAATGCTACTTCATCTGACAATTAAACACCCGAGAACGCTCAATACAAGTATACAAGGACTTACTGCAAAGGTGCCGCCTACAGTGAACACATTTTGACCAAAGAGGATGAAAACAAAGCCACAGCATGGAGTAGGCCCCAACTCCTACTGAAGTTAAGTAAGCAGCAGGAGTGTGGTGGGTTTCAGTGTAGTTTAGCTTAGGGGGGGCTAGTTTTGGGGGCTGAGCCAGAAAAGATTAAATCGCTGGATTTCCCCATTTAACATTAAACAGCGTGGAAGAGGGAATACCTGAACAATTGACTGCAGCTGATTAGTTGCACTCACTGCTTAGCTGACAATGTTTGGACTGGCTCCTTTGACAAAAGACGATTAAAAAAATCAGCGTTTGTGTAATGGAGGGGTACTAACTGCACCACCAAGTCCTGGTGGAGGTAATTATTTAGAATGTGTTACATTCAAGGGAATGATATAAAATAACTCACCATTGTGAACTGCCCACATAATGCGGAAAGCAGGGCCTCCAATTTCATCAAAAGGTTTCCTCCTGGTGATGACTTCCCAAAGGATGATTCCCCAACTGAAAACATCACATTTCTCACTGTAGTTACTACCTAAAAGAAAAGCACACAGTTCAGCACAGCATTTTAAGCTTCACTTCTCCTAGGTTACTAGGAAAGGGCAAATCAAGAAGGGAAAGGCACTACTATGAGAAAGTTATGTGCTTTAATATTTGTATCATAACGCATTCAAATCTACCATTGTTAGTGAATGAGCCTATGAATCCGGGACAGTGACATTTCTTTAACCAGTTGACATCCCCTGTGTTAAACCCCCTTCCCATCCAGGCCATTTTTCAGTATTCAGCGCTGCGGTACAATGGACGGGTCTTTTCTGCCCGTGCGTCCGCAGATGCTGTAGTGCCGTCCGTCCGTTTTTTTACTACGGGCGGACGGCAAGAGGTTAAACGCAAAATGAGAAAACAGACACAGTAGACCACACAGCATAATGCAGTAACTTTTAATCCGGGGGGAAAAAAAAAATATTACCCACAAGAAAAACTAAATGCAGAGTGTGTGTCACAGGCGCAGGCTATAATCTGTTCACAGCAGCTCTTGGCCACCACTTGCCATAATTAGGAAGGGGACAGAGGAGGTCAGTGTTCTCTGTACTACAGGAGTGGCATCATGTGGGTCCACAGAAGGGCCGACTAGTGTGTAGTGCAGAAAACAATTGAGGAGACCTCTCTCTCCCCTACCTAATCCTATGAAGTGGTGGCCATGAGCCAATAGTTACTGCACTATGCTGTGCATTTTGCTATGACTATTTTGTCTTCCCATGAATTAAGAGCACTCCTCTCTGTCCTTGCAAAGCAGCACGGTTTAACCCAGTGTGAACCCTTTTAGTCTAAGGACTTTACTTTTACTGTGGACTTATGGTTTATCTTATCACTGGCTGGTTACTTTGTTTTACTTGTATCTCAGGTTGGCTATATTGTAGTCATATGCACACATATTGGAGCTATTGTGGCACCCAGGTGATTTGTTTCCATTACAGTCTGTTACTAGTGCTTACAAAACCCAATTGCTCGCTTTTATTTATTAAAGACAATGAACACAGTACTTTCATGGTTAATTAAAATAGAAATATAGAAGACCTGCAGTAGAAATAAATTAAGGGACCATCAAGTCTGCATTTGTTTTGTCCGAGGATAGACCTATGTTTATCCCAGGCATGTTTAAATTAACTTACTGCTGATTGGTTCACCTCTGCTGGTATGCTGCTCCGAGCATCCCAAGCACATTGGGTAAAATAATACTTTCTAATGTTACTCTTGAACTTTCCTGCTGATAGTTTAAGGTCATGCTGTGATCTTGAGCTCAGCCTCATATTGAAAAATTATCCTGATTCCCGTCACACGCTACACTATTTTGTTTATACTTGCTATGAAGATGTTTATCAAAACAAAACCACCTTTTAACTTTAACATTAGCTCCTGTGCGTTCCACCACGATTTGCTGTTCTGCATCCTGGCCTGCTCCCTGCGTTCTGGGGAGGGGGCTTGACAGGACATTGAAGTTAATGGCACCACAGCAACGCTCACCACCTGCGGTCCTGTGTGATCAGAAAAAATGCTGCATGCACTATTTTCTCAGATCGCACTAGACTGGAATTCAGGGATTGATGTGCCACGCGTTCTGCTGCGGGGCACTGCGGGTGGAGGGCGCGGCTGCAGTGCCATTGACTTCAATGCACCCTCGGGCCCCCTCACACCCCTGTTTGCAGTATGCGATACAGACCGTTCCAGCAGCTAACTGCACTAGAACGGACTGTAAGTGGTGTGAACAAACCCAAGTATGCGAGTATGTAAGTGGTGTGAACAAACCCAAGCAAGTATATGATAAAAGAAACTTCATAAGCAGATGTCACCTTCAGTGAAAAATGCCCAGTCGATCCAGAAACATATGACCCTGAAAATTTACACAAATTTTGGTCTAGGTAGGCCCTATCGACTCCAATGTCCCTCTAAGATATGGGGTCACCCATCACATTTTGTATGCCCCAGTCACATCTACAGTATATGCGCATGATATAATGCTCATAAAGTGCATTTTTTTGATGTATGGATGTGCATGTACACCAATGAGAGTCAGTGCATGAAGACATAATTTCAACATGTGCTATAACTGAGGGGCTCAAGCCAAGACCACTAATTATCATTTTTTTCCCATCATATGCTCAGTTTCTGATTGATTTTATTCGTTTTTTAAATTAACAGCACCTTAAAGGTCGATAATGACACTCTTGCTTGTTTATAGGTAGGTAAATATTAGACATGTTCTGGGCCAGGATTTGGGGGGGCATTCAAATTGAAAAGCAAACGATTTCTGGAGAATGAAAAAAAAAGGTACTTGCAGGTACCTTCTTGCACCTTAACAGAACTATTATAGAAATGTCAATTTTGGTTTTGTTTTACATAAATGTCCATAACTGCCGATTCATCATGTTAGGGACCTGATATTTTCTTGCGTAAAATATATAAGGAACGTAAAGTACACAACAAATCTGATCAATCATGGCTGCTAGCCATCTCTCAGCTCATTTGCTGTACAGAACTGGTCTTTTCGGTCTAAACCTGAAGCACACCAGAAATGAATGCTATTCCTCTGTTGGAGAAGTGGTAAACCAACACAGGGAGATGCACTTTAATTTTTATACAGGGTCAATAGCTTTGAGTACTCTACGATTGTTAGAAAGGAGCAGATTCATTAATTTATACCTGATGTTTATGGTTTCTGAAGCTCCACTCGTATAGTAGAATAGGCACATCTACCTAAATAAACTCGCTAACTGAGAACTTTAGAGTGATGAAAACCACGCAGCTCTAATATGAAAATTCTGTATTTCCCTGTCCAAAAGGCCAGTCTCACCCATTTCCATGTCAGTTTGTCATCAGAGTGATGGACCAACAGTCAATATGCAGGGGAGTAAAATGGGCTGGGTCTAGCAACCATATAAGACAGCTGAATATGCATGTCAGATTGCCCTTGGTTTTAGAGGGTTCCAGAAAACGCCACAGAAAACCTGAACCAACTTCCAGGCACCCAGAGATAGCTGTTATCAGTGGATTATATCAATGGATTTTCAGAAACTTAAGACCTAGGTAACATATGCAATCTTGGTTTTTAATTGTTTTTACTCTATTTAAAATTTACAAAATAATAAACTTTCTTTGATTGTAAACATTTTTTTACAAATAAGTATTTATTACAGGATGATTGCATGACATTTATTTTGCAGACTATAATGGTCTACTAAAGTCCAGCGCTGGCTAATTACTTTAAATAAACAATAAAGGTGATCAGCGCCAGTAAGTGTAATGTGGAAATAAGAGCTACCAAGCACTAAGGATATAACTAAATATATGGAAAATGTGAAAAACAATATTGTGCCGAGCTAATAATCATCCTTGTCTAATAAAATTGAAACATATATAAATGAGTCACATATATGAGCCTTCAAACAAATGAGGCATTTAAAATATCTACACAAAGACAAAAAAGCAATATAGACAAAAAAAGGTCCCAAGGAAAAAACAAAAGCAAACAATGGTGATTGTGCAAAAAAATTCCTCAGATGATTCGCAGCCAATGTGCATATAACTCTCAGGTAAGCATAATCACACAATGCAGGCAGACCTTCACCTCCACCAAGTGAGTGCTCACCTGGGGAGTTAGACCCACAGAGCTAGGTCAAATGCGTTTTTTCCCTTCTTAATGGGGGGAGGGAAGCCCATGCACAGAAAAGGCGATAAGGTCTCCTCAGATCACAGGTACAATGGTGTAAACAGTACAGGCATTGGGTATTGCTGGATCAGACCAGCAGGGCAAATGGCAGCAAAGCGATAAAAAAAACCTGTTCGTCCGGCTCAGCTCAGTGCAGTGACATCAGAAGCTCTGCCGTATGTACGTTACGTCAAAACACGTGACTTCATCAGGGGTCGGGGTCTACCTCCCCAGGTGAGCACTCACTTGATGTCATCACTCACTTGGTGGAGGTGAAGGCCTGCCTGCATTGTGTGATTATCCTTACTTGAGTTATATGCACATTGGCTGCTAATCATCTGAGGATTTTTTTTGCACAATCACCATTGTTTGCTTTTGTTTTTTCTGTGGGACTTTTTGGTCTATATTGCTTTTTTGTCTTTGTGTAGATATTTTCTATGCCTCATTTGTTTGAAGGCTCATATATGCGACTCATTTATATATGTTTCAATTTATTAGATATGTATGATTATTAGCTCGGCTAATTACTTTACTGCCTCTGTCGAACAGAAAATCCTTATGGGTCTGTTTCGGCTATAAGAAAGTGTGTATGTTCCTCTTCTGATTTGCTTGAGCTAATTTCATCACCTGCTGTTCAGGTCTTTCACAATTGAGGACATTTACAGTAATCAACAGTATAAAGCTGGCCATACACCTTACAACCATCGCACAACTTTCATTGTGCGATGGTTGTAAGGTAATTAAAATCTTGTACGATCTGCCCATCTTGAGGGGAGGGCTTCCGTAGATTCCAATGCTGAGCAGGCAGTGTGCGCTTGCGCACACCGACCCGTTCAGCATTTGTCTTTCGAGCACGCCACTAACCCACCGAAAATCGTACGATTTTCGGCAGGTTTTCAAGCGTGCTCGGAAGACAAAAGACGTGCGACCATACAGTAAAAACGGTCGCACGCCTTCCATACACCTGCCGATTATCGTACGATCGCGGGATCACCCGCGATTATCGTATGATAATCGGCAGGCGTATGGGCACCTTTACAGTAAACCTAACCTAATCAAAATACGTGGCAGTAACCTGCAGCTCCAACTGGTAAATATGTATATGTAGTTAATCTATCTAACCAATAAAAAAAAAGGTAATTATACATATTTAAGCAGATTTAACATATTACAAGTGAAATTCTAGCACTGAGAAACACGCAAAACAATGTTTTACCTTCAAAGACTTCAGGAGCCATCCATGCAGCACTCCCTTTGTTGTTAGTCATATGGGTCTGAATATCGCAGGCTGTACCAAAGTCACATATCTTCAAAACTGTGCCTCCAGCCACCAAGAGCAAGCTGTGGTATTGAAAACAGTATTCCATGAGATAATCATTCTCTGTTCACTTGTTAAACATACAAGTTTCAAGTCTTTGGAATAGTTACAGGTAGATGGCAGATGGATGCCACACAACAGATCGGTGCAAGATTTATCAAAGTTTATCTAGCCAAAACCCAAGGTTGGGCCTATTGACAGGTGTGTTGTGGTTAATGCATATTACATTAAAATGTATTTAACTGAGATGACTAATGCACAACAATGGACCAAAAAAAAATAAATCCCACCTGCAGAATGTTTTTGCATCACAGCTCACAACAACTGGTAATGCATTATCCTGTGCTGCAACGCAGGTGTGCTCTGGAAGTGCCTTCGGATGACAGTCAAAATGAATAGCACAGCAGAGTACCAATGTGCGTAACAAGCATTATTGCAGCTGTATGAACAGGTAAAGTCCCTGTCCTGATTGACTTTATGGAAATTACAGTTAAAACTGCAATTCATTCGGCTGATATTTTGCCTTCCCTGGTTCCTCCATCAACACACCAAGGAAGTTTTTAAATAAAACCTGTTTCCATTAAATACCTTATTTTAGAGCCAGTGATGTCATTAGATCTTTGTGCTTCCCTCTGCAATGCAGGCAGATCATGACTGGTCGGAGGGGCCAGCACATAGCATCATGAAAACATCCCAGCCCCCTATCTCAGTACTCCTTCCAGCCCTGATGCAAGAAGTGGGCTGCCTTTTGGGATGAGTTATGCAAATATCAAAAAGCCTTGAATCTGAAAGAAGGAGCATTCCCAGGCATGTTGCATTTGCATGCAGGCAGCTCAAGGTAAGGCCCACATATGATGCGGCACCTCCATGGTTGAAGGAAGTAGAAGCAAATGAAAGGAGCAGGGCAGAGACAGTAAGGCTGGGGAGTAAAAGGCCAGATGATGCTGGACATCTGGCAGTAGGAAGCCCACTTTGTGCAGTGAAATCAGAGTAACCAATTTAAGTAGAGAGGAGAGGAGCATGTACAACTGTGCAAGCCTAAAAGATAAGCCTAGAGTTCAGATTTCATTTCCTTTCCAAAAACACAACAGAAAGTATGTGGAAATGCAAATGCCCTATTAGTAAACTGCAACCAGAATCATTATTTTCTCTAGAAAGAGTGGTGAGGGAAAAATCAGTAATTGTCATCAGTTTCTGTCACAGTATTTATGGTTACGAGGACAAGTAGAGAGGGTAATTCTTTTCAATGGGGACAAAAAGAACAGTAAAAAACACCACTGAGGATCTAGAAGATTCTTGTTTTATCCAAACTTAAAATTTGGGCAAGAGATGACATTTGGCCTTTTCATTAGTCAGGCTTCATTCCAATTTTTATATAAAATGACTTTGAACGTGAAAGAATTAAAATATTTTTGTTAGAATGTTAGAACTTTTCTTTCACTTCCTGTCTCCGTACACTTGTCAGTGGTGATTAAAAAAAACAAAAAAAGCCCGATATAGGTTCTAATCCTTTCCCATTCAATTAGAACATGCCCTCTAATGCTATGAGCTTAACAAATGAAGACACTGCTCATAGGAAGTGAGGAAAAATCTCCCCAGTAGCTACACAGACAACAATGCAAATAGCTGGCAGAGGTTCTAAATCCTACCTCATACCCACAAGATCAGAGACCACAGATCTCTAATAACAGTCTCATTCTGCTCATCAAAGATATATCTAAAAGGATGAAAGGAAACGGGCGTAACCGTGAGTTGCATTGGGCATCCGATCGGGTCCGCTTGAAAAAGCCGACAGGAGTGGCTGTGTGAAAGGGGCCTTAGTTTACTTATTACCTTTCACATTATAAATTGAACTGCATCTAAACAGTAAAAATATACAAAACAAAAAAGTTTCACAAAACAATAAATATGAACTTACTTTGGTGGCTTAAGGTCCCTGTGAATAAGAGCCTTTGGCTTCATGTTGTGTAAATATGCCACTCCTTGGGAACACTGTAAACACCAACTCATCGCATGAGCAGCTGTGTAGAAAGGCAGGGGCTCAGCACCATGCAGAACTGTAAAACAAGATGGAAACGTAAGAACAGCATAACACATTCAACGGGGAACTGTTTGATGCAATGTAACACCGGTGGACCTAAACTCAAAAAGATAAGATTTGCAATGGCTTAGGGACCAGTGCCTTTGCTATACCCTTAAAAAACGGGAGGGCACAAACTAGCATCCTCCCGTTACCCTAAGCTCAGTATACCGCAAGCTGCAGCTCGCGGCATACTGAGACGCCACAGTACACCGCAAGCTACTGCTCGCGGTATACTGAGACGCCGCAGCTGAAGCGGATCCCGACAATTATGTCTGGATCCGCCCAGCTGCCTGAGTGACAGCTGGCTCTGCCTATCTAGAGGCAGAGCCAGCTGTATCCGCCCCCTTCGCCGTCCGATCCGCCAGTCAGCGCTGGCGGATCGGAGTGGGGGGAATTCAGCCCCTCCCCTGTCACGGCAGAGAGCCGTGACAGGATCGAGAAGTGAGCGAACGCCAATTCAGCACTGAGAGAAAAATAAGCAAACACTACTGGAAATATATAGAACGATGCTGAGCAGTAACCGTTTCACAAAACAGCTTTCAGCATCTTGGCTAGACTAATAAGAGATGAAACAAACAATGTCTGCTGCAGATCAGTAGAGTCAGTACAACTGAGCCAATCTAGAGAGCTCAGCAACAAGCTCAGGAACTATTAAGTTAATGTAAAAAAATACGTCAGTGTCCATGAAACCTTAGAATTATTGTCAATCGTATGTGATGTAATGCAATGTTAGGCAAAGGGTATGAATGCTTGTAAAATCAACACTTTCAAACACTTATGACACCCAATTTGTTTCCTGAAGAATTCCATTGCAACAGCAAGGGGACAAAAACATTAATGGGCTAAAACACTTTTCTAGCACTGATGAGTACTAAATGTTGGCAACTAAAACAGGTCCGTCTCTACTCGCCACAATATATAGTCTGTTTATAGAGCAGATAAATATTGGAATTACAGATGTTGTCAAAGACAGGTTATGGCGTTTTACAACATACATGAAATAAACCTACATAAGCTGACTGCTAAATGCCAGGTTAAACATGCTTCATTTTTAGGGAATTATACTGGATGATAGCCAGAGGCTTCACTTGGCCAAATCATTTGTAAAAGCCCAACTGGAGTTTAAAAAAAAGTAACCAGATACACCAAATACTGCACAGAGAGCCAAAATGTATCTGTCTTACTGTTAATAGTAACAGTAGTTACTATTTTACTAGTTAGATTGCTCCCCTGTACTAATCCAAATACCACCACCCTGGTATTCAGCTGCGCGGAAGCAGCAACTTCACTGTGCATTCTGACACTTTCTGCTTAGGCACAGCTAGAACAATGCATTCAGCAAAAAGCAGGAGAATTGCTGATAGCGCAGCTCTTGCCTTGACTGAACAGGAGGGGTGCCAGACTGCTGCATCCACATAAAGAGCAAAAGTCCTGTCTTCTGCTGATTGCCAGTGGAGCAAACCTTAGACAGGGGGATAGACAGGTCAGAAAGTAACTGCATAAGCAGATTAAACCTTGCCATGGGACTCCATTTACACAACTGTTTTACCTAATCAGACAGCATTTTTGTCACACTATGAGCAGTAAAATGTATCGCTTATCATTGTAGTAATTAACCACAAAATATATGGAAATGAAAAAAGGATTTCTGTACTTGCTGTAAAATCCTTTTCTTAGAGTGCATTGAGGGACACAGGAATTCAAATACTGTTTGATCATACTGCCACCTACAGGATATTGCACACTGGCAAAAAAAACAAAACTGTACGACAGCCCTTCCTCTACCCAGCATGCCTTAGTTTTTAGCAAGCAAGAACAGAAGTAGAGAGGGCTGGGACTCCAAGAAAAGGTTTTTATGGAGAGTACAGAAATCCTATTTTTTTCTCATCTAATGAGGGACATTGGAATTCAGATACTGTCAACACATCCAAAAGTATTCCAACTGAGGGGTGAGCAACACAGCAACAATTGCTAACAAGCCCAATAAGAGAGCTGAGGACTGCCTACAGCCAAGGAGTACTGGAAGGACATATGTTTGTCACCAACGCTGAAACCTAAAGAATCCTGATCCGGCCAGATCTTGCAGGTGTTCTGCCCTTCAGGAAGGTACTGACTCCAAAGATCCATGGAGCTAATTCTCTTTGCAGGAGGTCATCTGAGTGTCCCCCAGTGGGAATGTCAGAAAAAAGAGCAAGGATGTACACAAGAGCCAAATGCAGAGAAGTAGCAGTTGTGCACAGGCAACACTAAGAATCCAGGTACTTATTTAGGTAGAGAGCAGTAAAAGCTGGATGGATACCATGAGGGTTGTTCTTGTTTTAATGTCCTAAGGACAGGGTATCTCCCTGAGGAAGGGAGTGGTGGCCCAAATGGGGCACAGCTCCAGGAACCGAGCTGACACCTAGCCTGGAGCAAGGCGTCCAGGGTTGTGAGAAATCCAAAAAGATACTGGGAAAGGTGCATTAATTAATCTGCATCAGCACCAGGGGGAATACAAACGAGCAGCTAAAGCAATGCCCTCTACACCTGAATGCCAGAGAAGAAAATTACCCAAGGGCCCATCAGGGTTTACAATCAGCCCCTCAATTGTAGAAGTGAAGGCACACCTTCATTAGAAGGGCTTAGCCACTCTCTGACTTAAAGCACTACAGGCTGAGGGTCAAGCTTGGATTTAGTTCACCACTCCCATGGCATTCCTAATCATGGTATCCCTCTGTGTCTATGTGCAAACATGTTGTGGCCACGTAGCGGTGATGCAAATAGACCAAGGTGAGGGGCAAGGCCTCAGGTAATCACAAACCCAGGCAGCTGGTGCTGATGAGGTGGCTGGAAGTGAACCAGGTCACTGAAGGCAGCTGGAGATTCACGTGTTGCTTATAAAGCAATGTGATGGTACTCACCCTAAGCTAAATGGTAGGAAAGAGAGTGCCGAACACACATGTGCAACTTCACACAGATGACGCCAGCGCTCAATTCCTCAGTGCTAATCCATTCTGCAGTGAAACTGGCGGGGGCAGGAAAACTGAAAGGTGCCCAACAGTGCAACAGTGAAGCAGCTCCTAGTGCATCAGCACAAACAGCCTTGCTTAACAAAGTGAGTCTTTAGAGACATTCAAATGTTGAGGAAAGGCCACAGTTCTGGACATGAAAAAGACTGACTACATTTCACCAGTACACAAAAGGTTTATAAAGTGTCACAATGCAGATTCAAGTGCCTGAAAGCCACTAGTGCCACCAGTACAGTTCAGCTGGGTTGAACTAACACTTCAAAATCTGGCTTAGGAAAGGCCAATCTGCATAGCTGCTATGTAGAGACCAGTTCAAGTAGCAATCTAGAGATGAATATTGATTGATGTTGATAGAAAATGAAAGAAAGACATTCATCCGCCTTAGGAAACTAGCACAAAAACGAAGGCATGCTGGGGCTAGGTGAGGGTTATCCTGGGGCTGGTATGTATACCCCAACACTATCTGAATTCCTATGTATCTCCATGGACTTGAAAAAATAATTTTATGTGAATTAGCCAAGTTAAGAAACTTGGAGGTAGGTAACTGCACCTCTCTAGCTGACTGGACTCCCATATTTCTGAATGATACCTTATATCATAAAACTACTGTTGTATACATCCAGCTTCAGGTATATGCAACGGAGAAAGGAAAGTGCACTTTTTCTTTGGTAAGTCTGTAAGATGCAAGTGAATCCAACTTTCTCTAGTCAAGTGGAAAATATCACAAATTACTCACCATTATACAGTGAGCCGCCTTCAGCATATTCCATAACAAGACAAACCTAAGACACAGAATATAAATCTTTAGGTATTTTATGTGCATGCATTCGGCAATAATTTGGAACATAAAAAATAGCACACAGAACAGAGATGAAATAATACTATTGCTTTGCAAAAACCTGGTGAAAGAAACCATTCTTATTAAATTATTTCTTTCAAAGTGCATGCATTAAAAGTTGCCTTGACAACCAAATACTCTGAACACAATTATACAGTAGATAGAAAAACACAGCATAAGACTGATTGTAATTAGAGTTAATCTACAGGCAAGCAAAATCAATCCAATCAAAATGTGATAAAAACATATAAAGATCTGAAATAGTCAAAGAGATATGTTATTATAGAACAGCAAAAGGGAACCATAATCCTAATGTTTTGTAGAAGATTAATTTTAAATAAACAATATTAACAATGTGTATGTGGTTTCTAAGTACACATGAACAGTCTTTTAATCCTCAATTTTGTAAAAAAAAAGAAACCAGAAAAAAAACAGTGTGTGTGTCATATAATATAATTTTAATTTTTTTTACTCAAAATAATGTTTTTTTTTGTAGTTAAAAGAGAATTATAGGGTAAGTGTTTTTCCCCATAGTTCTCTTAAGGGTCATGGGAGGACATATACTAACCTCCTCCCATGACCCAAAGCTCAGTCTATTGCGAGCTACTGCTCACGGTATACTGAGACCGCCGCAGCCGGGGCGGATCCCGACATTACTGTTGAGATCCACCCAGCTGCGTGAATGACAGCTGGCTCTGCCTATCTAGAGGCAGAGCCAGCTGTACCCGCCCCTCTCCCGTCCGTTCCTCCAGAATCCCTGCAGGGAGCCGTGAGAAGTGCGCAAGCGACGGTATGTGTTCGCTCACTTCCCGATCTATTGAGCCGACGTGTCGGCTCAAACTATAAGGATGAGTGATTTTCACTCACCTCATAGTTCTCCTTTAAAGTAAGGCTCTTAATACAAGGCAGGGAAAGCAAGAACATATACATCATGTGTGGTATATGAACTCAGGTGTATGTGCTACAAGATGGTCACCCAGGATACCAACCACTGAGCAATGGATAATCACCATATTGACAAGGTTTGTATGAGATTTGTGTAGCCGCATGCAGCTGCCTATACATTAATATGAGAGCAAGTGGCTACATGTCGACCCGAATTTGCACATCCATACAGGTAGGGATGCAAGCTCATGAACGTTAGCATGTAGCCACTTGCCATCATACAAATGTATAGGCAGCTGCATGCGGCTACACGAAGCAGCATTCCCTCCCAAATGCAGGTTTTTGCATGGTGTGTACGCTGTATGGCTGTGCATGTCTCTGTAAATGATGTCTTATAGTAATATGGAGTGTTGCAATACTTTATTGTTGGAAAAGCTAATCTAGGGCTGCCAAACGTTCTCAAAGTAAATTAGTATGCCATTTTTTTTTTACCTGTTAATTTTCAGTGTTAATGTAAACCTGTCATGACAGAATTATGTATGCCGTCACTGCTGACCTCTGTTTGAGAATTGTAGTTCCCTGATGGGCGTGCTAATGCTTTGGGTACAGAATCATTGACCTGGGAGATGCACAGAGAAAAGCAATCTTAACAATATTTTGCAGCATGCTTGTTTTGGGTCTGTGACTTAAAATTATTAAAGCCTGACAGAACCAGGCAGCTAGTATTTTCAGAAGGAGGTCATCAATGGCAGCCCCTGAAATGTGGTGAAGCTTCAGTAGAAGGTTGGGGAAGGACACATGTGAATTGGTTATGGATAGTAGCTGATCATCGACAAACATGTACAGTTTGATTTCTCTGTCTCCAGCTTTGAAATTGTTTATATTAGGAAACGGAACCAAAAAGGGGCCAATAGCAAAGTAAAATAGTTGCCTAGTGCCCTGACTAATGTGGATTTAAGAGAGGGCTGTCATAGGTTGGGAATTTTATATACATTATCAGAAACACACCTAAAAAGGAATAAACCTCACTCAAAACTACTTAAAACAATAGCAGACATTTAGGGCTTGTTCACACGCGTTACAGTGCGTGCTGGCGCGGTTAGCTGTTGGAATGCACTGTATCGCACAGTAAACTCCCCCCCCCCCCCCCCAGGCAGCCACCCCCCCTCCCAGAATGTGGGCACATTAACGCCCATGTTCCGGTCCAGTGCGATTGAAAAAAATAGTGCATGCAGCATTTTTTCTGATCGCACTGGACCACAACACAGGCACTGATGTGCCACACACTCTGGTGTGGGCGAGGGGAGTGGCTGTGGTGCCATTAACTTCAACGCACAGCCACACCCCCTCCCACCCCAGACTGCAGGGGGAAGTTTACTATGTGATACAGTGCATTCCAACAGCTAACCTCGCTGGAACACACTAACTATCGTGAACAAGCCCTTAAGAAAATAACCTTAAATAAATATTACTTACAGGATTTAGGCAGGCTCCATACAACTTCACAATATTTGGGTGATTCACACGTGACAACTGTCGAAGCTAAAATAAAACATAATAATCTACGTTGTGGGGGAAAAAAAATAGCAAAAGTGCAAGTGTTTGTTTTGTAACACCACATCAAGACATAGTCTATGAGCAAAATACATAGAAATAGTTTAAAAACAATGGTTCCAAGAGCTTCTCGGAAAGCCACACCATTCTTAAAACAAACAAAAAAAACTACATGAACAGCAATTCACTGTATTTTTAAAACTCTAAATTCCACAAGAGATGTAAAAAACAAAAAAAATATTAGCAAGGGTTCAGCGCTAAGCCCAGGATCAGAAACAATCAGCTCTTAGGGGGTGTACTGTAGAAGCGATTGCAAACAGAATGCTCTCCTAAAGTAAAATGCATATGATCACTCTTGAGCTTTCCAATTTCTCTATTTCACATAAAAGTTGCGCTAATGTGATATTTTATTCAGCTCACTTAATTATATTTTGGGGCAAAAATATGGGGGTGCGCAACTTGTGAAAAAACAATGGTAAAAAATACAGGAGAAATGCTTTTTTTCCCCCTAATTTGTTTTTTAACTTGTATTGCATTAAAAACCAAAAGGAAATACAAATGTGGATCCAAATCTGTTACCAAATTAAGCCTTAGCTCTCTCTCAACAACAAATAAGTGTATAATATATTAAGGCAGACTACAAGACCTAAAAAATACAACATGAGGAAGGAAGACATTGCTTTAAAAAAAAAAAAAAGAAAAAAGAAGAAGAAGAAGTCTCTGGGTTTCAGGGATATTTAGGGAGAATAAGGCCCAGGGACTAAAGAGGTGAAAGTAAGTGCCGTGATAACTGACAGTAGGGGCCCTAGCACCCAGCCATCTGTGGCCGCACAGCGTAGGTTCCAGCATATTTCTGTCGCAAGGGAGCCACAGGTGCTACATACAGCCTTCCATAAAAGTCAACAGATGTACGTGGGTATACGTGCAGACAGTCTGCATTTGAGGTTGTGTGCTGGTAATGGTTTATGCAAGTCCTACGTACAGTATACCTGTGTACAGCCAATGACTTCTATGCGGAAGATGTACTCAACATCTATGTTCCCTGGTGGCAGAAATACGTCTGGAATTTACATAGTACGGCCACAGGTGGCTCGGGTGCAAAAGCCCTTAAAAGGAATATGAATGATAACTTATATTTTAAGGATCTTTACGCAGTCCCGATGAAGGTAATTGGCTCCTAATAACATAACTAAGAACCTGCAGCAAGCTTTCATGCAGTACCCACTGATACTCAGTAATGGGCACCAGAAGCATGCACTGCTTTTATCGCACACAAATTCTGGTCCCGGAACATTATTCTCAGTGTATTTTTATGATTTTAACAATGAAAAGAGTCAGTCACTTGTCACTACAAAACAGAGGAAAATATCCATCAGTCGTAGATTTTTGCCTTTAAAGTGGACCTTTAACCCCATTCACTAAAAATCAGCTCTGCATGCCGATATGAAATCATCTTACTTTCATTAGACAAACAAACATTTTTCTTTACCTTACAATTATCGTTTTTCCACTTCCTGGTCCACTTTAGCACAAATGATGTAATTGTACCCAAGCATTGCATACTGGGAAGGTTACATAAACAGAGCATTGCAGGGAAATCTCATCTGTAATCTCACGAGATCTCAGGGAAAGACATTTTCCTCCCGAGATGGCGTGCATGGTCACATGTCCTACTCACATGTGCCAGAGTTCCAGCTAATATAGGGAGATATTTTAATCTGCCCTTAGTAAAAAAAAAAAAAAAAAAAAAATGCCCACTGTGAGAAGAATGGGGAGGAAAGGAAAAGTAAGGTATGCAAAGAATAAAAAGCTAGCAATTATTACTAAACATTTCTAAAGGTGTATTTGTTGTCATATTAAAGCTATGGGAAAGTTCCTCTTTGATGCCTGTATCACCTTGAAATGACAGAAAATGGTTGGGTGTGTACAATACCTCTACAATAAAGGCTTTTCTTTCAGATTCACTTTCTATTTGCTTGATAGCTACATCTTTTCCTCGCCATTTTGCTTTGCAGACAACACCAAAGGTGCCTCTTCCAACTACCTGTTAGTAAAGAGAACAGACTGTGTTAAAAGCAGACCTCTATGGTTTTGACTAAATCAACACGGGTATAAAAACTCAATTATTAAGCTCAGTAAGTCAAGAGGTGAATAAACCACAAATGCTGAGCAGCCAATACAAAAATGACACTGCCGTTGTACCTTTGCAATGACGCCATGCAACACTGAATTCTCAAATCGTCAAAGCCCATGATCTCAACTGCATGATGGCATACATAAGCCTTGACTGAGAGATAAGCCCCGCCCATCACACACACACCAATGTTCGAAAGACCAATGCAAAAACCTCTGTAAGGCCTCATTCACACTGCTGCACATATACGCGCGTATTGTACCATATGCAGCACATGCAAATAAATGTATCCATACACAAAGCTGCGTATGGAGCCATATATTTGCGTAGCGTACAAATGCACAAAAACAGAATGGAACAGAGATGCTTCCGGACAGCGTATTGCTGTGTACTTACGCGCATATACGGATGTTTACGCACATACGCGTGTATAGTGCATTGCAATTTCTATCACGAATGATGCATTCTGGGATTGCATATAGTGCGCGTATATGCGTATACATACGCACGTATATACGCAATATACAATTTTGCTCTTGCGTTGTGTGTGAATGAGGCCTTAATGATCTAAGATTTGACTGCTGTATGCTGGTGCGGGGCTCAGCACCAACTGGTTTATATACCTCATTTTCCTAGGATTAAGGGGTCCCTGGGTGGAGAAATAAAAATATCTGAGGAATAAAAGAACTCCGTCATAGGCTGTCAGTGCTGAAAATGCTAGATACCTGGCTGTCTAGCTGCAACAGTCACAAAACAATTAAGAGTCAGTCAAACAAGGACTAATGAGCTAAGTATTTGTTCTGGTTTGAGGGCTTGTTCACACCATCCAATGCGTTCGGGGCACGGTTCCATGCCATGAACGCACTGGATCACATAAACAAAGGCTCCCTGAATTCTGGGGCGGGAGAGGGCATCGTGGTGCCATTCATGTCAATGGCACCACAGACATACCTCCCGCCCGCACCGAATGCATGGCACCACAATGCTCCGAGATCCAGTGCGGTACAATCGCAAAAAATAGTGCACGCACCACCATGCCCCTTCCCGCCCCAGAAAGCGGGGAACCTTTTTTTTTTGCGATCCAGTGTGCTCATGGCAACGAACCGTGTCCTGAACACATTGGATGGTGTAAACAAGCCAAAATAGCTGTTATGTTCTGCTCTGGTAGACTGACTCAAGTATTGATGCTAAATATACATGGCAGCCAAGCAACCAGCATTTTCAGTAAGAGGCTGTCAGCCAACATATTGTGACTTTTCTTGCACTCACCACAAGGTGAAGTGACAGGGCCCACCGATGCCAGACTGACTAGCTCCTGGATTTTACAGCAATTTGCTAATCCTCAGGTTTAACATAACATTTGCCATTGTATATACTTTGCTTCCATTTCCACTATGCTGTGTCACAGAAACACAAATCCATGTGAATTACGCACTATGACACTCTATATATTATTCAAATTCACAGCAGGTCTGTAATAAAAGAAACATACTTGTTCAATCAAAGGTTTACCAATGTACATACAGTCAATGACACATATGGAAATAACTCATGGTCAGAGACCTAATAAAATGACAGACCATATAAATAAACAGACAGGTGTGCCTTAGGAACACAAAACAGACACCAAATCTGCAGCCTGCTCCTTGGAGACCATGAATAACTAGCCAATGTATAGGTGCCTGTGCTGCTACACTACCTGTTCTAAGATGACAATCTGTCATCAATCTGACCATTCAAGGATTCACTCCCTAGATACTTGGTTTGTCTCTGGGTCTCTGGATGCAACAGTATCAAAGGAGTTACAGAAATTGAAATAAACCTCATCAATTGCACCTCCCTAATGAACTGTTCTGGTAACCCTATCAGAAATCTGACATTTGTTTGCTAGGATTACTCCACAGGGACACTGGGATGCCTTGGTTTATGCACATACCAGGGCACAAGGTAATGAATTATTCTTCTTTGCAACATTTCCATTAATTATATCTCTGCTGGAAAGAGCAGGCATATAATACTCGACGTACTGCTTACAATCACTTTTCGCCACGTCAGCAGTATAACACTGACATACTCCACAAGCAAGACAATATGCACAGCATCCATGGAGTACTGTGGCTTTAGATACTCGACATCCTTATTTTAAAAGACAACCAAAATCGGGTCATTGAACACTTGATGTTTGCTTAGAATCTGTAGGGGGATTGCACAATATTATGGGTCTATAGCAACCAGATACCAGCATACAATAAAGTTAATGTCAGGTTGCTAAGAGAAATTTAGACTAGGGTTGCACTGATACCGGTTTTTCGGTATCAAGTACGAGTAACAATACTTTGCTTTTGGTACTCACCGATACAGAATACCGACACCGGTGCTTCCGCTGGCATGGAGCAGGCTTTCTGGGCAATCAGGAAGCCGGGCGGTGGGTAATGACATGCCGCCCGGCTTCCTGATTGCCCAGGAAGCAGGCTCCAATGTTGATTGCCCGGGAAACCGGCTTCCCGAGCCAACAGCATTGAGACGGCTGAACAGCCAATCAGGAAGCAGGGAGGCGAGTCATTACTCGCTGCCCAGCTTTCTGAGTGCACGGGAAGCTGGCTTCACGGTCCCTTACGGCACTGCCGGTCAGAGGATATCTTCCTCTGACTGGAAGTTCCGGTATCAGGGAAGGTATCGGAGCATTTCGTCGAGTACGAGTACTCACCCAAATGCTTGGTATTGGTGCATTCCTAAATTTAGACAGTTATTTCAGGCACTGCAATTAAAAAGGACCAACCTTGGCAGTATAATGGCTTGCTCCTTAGCACTGTAGGCTTTAAGGCTAAAGTCACACTAAGTGCGATTACATGCGTTTAAAATGGTTTTCGAATGACTTCCAATGAATCCATTCACACCTTGCATTTAGATGCTTTTATCTGAAGTCAGTTTAGGGCTGCAAGTAATAATTATTTTAATAATTGGTTGCACGATTCATTTTTCAATAATACGATCAAAAAAAAAAAAAAAATTAAATATCATCCTTTATTTAAAATAAAATTCACAAATGCAGTGTTACAAACAAAAAAAACTTTACTTCAGAATAAAAGTGCATGCACAATCTTTTGCAATCGCACCCCACTGGAATGCATAGCATTGTGGTACCGCACATTGCAGTGCAGGCTATTGCACCGTGGACGGGGGTGCAATCGATTGCAATGTCTAAACGCACCAAAACGCATATAAATGCAAGATATTTGCTGAGGTAATATGATAAAGCCAAGAAGATAACATAACTGAGATTGATGTCCCCTTAGAAAATAGGGGGTATATATCATACAACAAGGACTGAAAGGGTAAAGTACTTATTGCATATCTACAGGGCATATAACAGTCAGATATAATGTCAGTAGCGATACAGTACCAATAGGTGGTGGTTGCAATGAACCCCTCAGCACTTCTAAAATATAATGTGCTGTCAATCTAAATGGGAGCACAAGGTTCTCTCTCTCTCTGGAGAAGTGAAAAATGTATCAATAAATGGCAACCGCCTCTTGAAAATTCTAGACACACTTTGCTCAGAAGTAAGATCCAGCTCTGCATCCAGTCTCTCTAGACACATCAATTGACAAAGATCACGCAGAAGTCCATCAATGGTTGGAGGGTATGAGGAGCGCCATTCCCGCATTATGCGTCTCCTTGCCAATAAGAGACATATATTAATCCACTGCCGGCCAGTCCGAACCCTGATAGCGGAAGGATTGTTAAATCCCAGTAGCTAAATAATAGTAATAATGTGTCGGAAAGGAGCTGGTGGCCCTGAGCACCTAGGACCAGAAAGTTTGGATCACAGGGTAGGACCACAGACAGTGAAATAGCGAGGCAGCTGGTTCACCATATTTGGGGCAACTATGGCTAGAATGTGGTTCGCCTTTCATTTGAAACGTATAGTAAGCTCTGTGAATGATTTTAAATTGGGTTTCTCTCCATTGTTTTTGGACACAGATCTAACAGTGCGATAACCAGTGAGGATTTTGTTTACTAATCCTGCACCCAATTGGCAATATTAGACTTTTCCCAAGGGGCTATGGTGTTGTCCAACAGGAAAGGGTAATTAGCTGAGATGGAGACTCAAGTTTTCGCATTTAAATAACTTTTTCTTTCATTTTAGACCCTGGACCAACATGAGCACTTAGGGCAGGTTCACACTATTTTCTGGTTCAGATCTGGTCCGGAAAATGGTGTAAACCTGCCCACAGTTCCAGTGCATTCCAGACAAGACAACATGAGACCTGCAGTATTTTTCTGGTCTGGAACGGACTGTGCTAGTGTGAACAGAGGCCAGAAATAGCATAGGACTACATTACAATGCATGTTGGGCCTGGAAACAACCTGGATGTGGTGCGAATGGGCCCTTATCCCAAGCAATGCAAGGATAGCTCCACTGCAAGGGTTAATAAAAAATGTACCCAGAGTTCCTATTTCACAAGCTGAACAGTGTTTTTGAAAGTGCCAGGGCACCTTGACTGCGAAGGGTGTATAAAAAAATTATATATATATATATACACACACACACACACAAAAGGTGAACTCACCCTTTAACCCTTTGCACTCCAGTTGTGCTAAAACTACATATCTTACAATGCCTGTGGCTGGCAGTCATGCAATGTCTCATGAGACTTGTAGTTCCACAACAGCTGGAGTGCTGAGGTTGCCTACTGCTGCAACCTTCCTTAACCTATAAATAAAAGCTATGCTATATGTACACTTTAATGATTGGGTGTAATCGTGAATACATGATTTAAAGGGCCTGCCTGATTGAATAGAAATTGACTGGATAGTTCAGGTGGGTCCTCAAACGGCAAAGTTTTGTAAAAAAAATGTCAAGTTGCTTGCACAGAGATTGTATGGACAGATCCTAACGTCTATTGTAAGCAATAATAGATACATTCAATTCCTTCTACACGTTACAAGCTGAGCACACTTCACCTTCAGATTAACCTATCCAATCACTTTATATCCAATCAGGCAGACTCTTCCACTACATAGTTGTTGGTCGTCTCTGATACAATGTTCCTCCTGAAAGCTGTGTTTGTAGTCACCACTGACAACAAACAGGAAGTGAACACTGACAGCTGAAGGTAAACACACCTGCCGTGACAACGCCAGGTGACATGCAGTGGCACGGTGCCCCCTAAACCACCGACACTCACCTCTTCCACCTCGATCTCCTTGTAGTCGATCTCCTCGAAGTTGAGCACTGGAGGGGTTTCAATCATGTCAGCGGAGGAGGCAGACATGCCGTGCCTTCACCGGTCGAATACGGGCCTTCGCCAGAGGCTTACGGTAGCGGCTCTTGCAACAAGGTCCGGGGCCACCGTACACTCTGGCTTTACTGGCGGCAATTGAGTGCTTGTTTTTGTTGTTACCCTTTAAAAATATTCACTAAATACATTGACATCAGTTCCTGCCCATAAGGAGCTTACAATCCAAGGTACCTATCTCACATACATAAATACAGATACTAGGGCGCATATAAAAATACATAGGTTGCTATTGCTGGAGTCTTCTTTTAGTGTCTGTTCACACTAGCCACTGTGCAGAACGCATGGCACTGTGCACTGTAAAAAAAAACAAAAAACTTTATTGAAATGACACAAGTGACATTTCATTCAGTTCTATTGGCACAGCGGGGTGTGAGACTGTTGTTCCACTTCCCATCTTGCTGCCCAAAATAAAGTAAGGCATGCTTTTTTCAGCGCACACCACTGCAATGATGGTGGTGTGAATGGTGGCCATCTGTGACAAGGCAGATTGCCTTGTCTTGTGTTGGGGCTGTTCTGGAAACAATGGCCAATGCAGCCACATAGCGTGCTGTGTTAATAGACCCTTAACCCCTTGCCGTCCACCCATTGTAAAAATACGGACGGGCGGCGGATGCTTCCCGGCGGGTGGACGTACATGTACGTGATATTTGTTTTGCTCGTGCGCGCCGAGCAGAATCCCACCGGGAGTGTAAACAGCCATTACCGGCTGTTATCATAGGCGTCTCTACGGGGGGGGAGCAATTACAGCTTCACTCTTGCCAGCTGACAAGTCGGGCACACGGTCACTCTGCGTTACATTGCTGTCCTCCGCACTTTGCGTTACATTGCTGTCCTCCGCACTTTGTGTTACATTACTGAGCTCCGCACTTTGCATTACATTGCTGCCCTCCGCACTTTGCGTTACATTGCTGCCCTCTGCACTTTGCGTTACATTGCTGCCCTGCGCACTTTGCGTTACATTGCTGCCCTGCGCACTTTGCGTTACATTGCTGTCGTCCACACTTTGTGTTCCATTACTGAGCTCCGCACTCTGCGATACGTTATTGACCAATGCACTCTGCGTTATAACTGACCTCTGTCCCAATACTAAAAACCGATACCAGCACTTACATTTTTCAAATTGACTTAGGTGTCTTAGGTCCGGCTGGGGACCTTGCGGCCGCCTTCTGGGGAGCTATGCAATGCCTGTTTACAGCGCTTCTGCCACCCGCACATCTCCCCAATCTTATGTGCCCCCCCTATATATTGTTCCTAGAGTCGCCGCTGGCTGTTATATACAAGTGTTCGGCCGGCCAATCGCTTGTATTACCAGGCACAGTGCGGGCCTTCTCTGTCTGCTGCCACGCCGCCCCCTCTGCTGCCACTGCTGGTTATCCTGGGCACTGCTGTCTCCCCTGCGGCCCCTAGGATCGAGACCACCGGCACAGCGGCTCTCTGTACTGAGAAGGAGGAGAGATCAGCATTTCCCCCGCTGCTGATCTCTCTTCCTTCTCTCTGTAAAGACAAGCGATGTGTATTACATCTCTTTCACAGCAGATTGGAAAATTAGCAGCAGCCTGCAAAGAGAAGAACCCTGCGATTCAGGTACATGGCGGAGGTGCAATGTCTCCATGAATATGGGTGTAACATGAAACATGGTATAAAAGGTAAACTTAAAGTGATATTAAACCCTCAGATTTTTAACATAAACCAATACTGTAATGTGTGCCTTACTGTAATCCATGGTTGTTTCCCTTCCCTTTGCTGCTCTTCCTTTTAAATCCGTATCTCTTCTCATGCTGGGCAGAACTTCTGTTTTGCAGCAGACTGCCTTGTCTCTGGAATGGATACATGGTGTCTGTGTGCAGGTTCATAACCTGAGCCAGCACTACAGGAAGCGGCACTCAGCTGCAAAGGGAAGTTCTCCCCCAGCATGAGAAGAGATAAGGATTTAAAAGGAAAGAGAAGGGAAACAACCATGGATTACAGTAAGGCACACATTACAGTATTGGTTTATGTTAAGAAATCTGAGGGTTTAATGTCACTTTAACCTTAAATAACGCTGGCTACCTGCCTGTCAAACTGATTTAATGGCTTCAGTACTTTCAATCAGTCCTGGGATCTTGGACACTGTCCTGTAGTGTCCATGTACCACGGGATCCAGGGCACCTGTGCCAAGTTCTGACTGTAGGGTGGAGTGATCTCCTACCCAACAGTCACACTACTGTATAATCCTGAGATCAGCTCAGGAAGAGTAGCAGCACAACAGCTTGTGACCAACAAAGCGTATTCTTGTGCCCTTTGACACCAAAAATTTGGGGCTAAGTTTGCACCCACTGACAGCAAAGATGGGGCTTTTTTTTATCAAACTGATACTGATTTGGGTCTTATTTTCCTCCCACTGACACCATCGAAGGACTTAATGTATTCAACAAACACCAATGATGGGACCAATGATATGTCCACTTTCTCTTCAGTGGACCCCCAGGCCCTAGTTTGTTTAAAACATAGCAAAGCAGATATAGAAAGGTGCCACACTATAAGCCATACACAACTAAAACTGAACTCCAGACTTAACTTTTTTCTCACACCTGTAGCAAGACCTCTCCTGTGTTACATACAGTAGTATTTGAGGTTGAATAAAGACACAGGTCCTTCAAGTTCAACGTGTGTGTGTGCGTGCGTGCGTGTGTGTGTGTGTGCGTGCGCGCATGTGTATACTAGTCCCTGTGTATTCTAGTCTTTAATAGTACCTGTACCCCTGTATGTTATGATCTCTGAAGAACATATCTAAATTATTTTTTTAATGATTCAATACTCTCTGCTGATACCACTGCTTGTGGAAGAGAGTTCCAAAATGTAACCGTTTTAACTGAAAAAAAGGCCCCTATGCCCTTTGTGGTTAAATATTTTCTCCTCAATTTTAGGTGGCGGCCTAACCTATTGAAACTGATTACTCTCAATTCCCTGTAAACCTACATCTCCTCATTATAACCCCTCAAAGCTGCAGTAGCTATCTTGAGCCTGCCTTCATTTCCTGTCTGAATGACCTCCATTATTTATAAATTATTTCACTCCCTGATCTATACTGTCATTGCCTCCCCCCATAATCAATCAATTTGTTCCCGAGCTTTATGTGAAAGAACACATCCCCAGATCCCTTTAGACGTGTCTGCAATCAGTCAACAAATCTACATACTGCACAGCTTAAGTCTCCAGCACACAGTGGACAGAAGGAAAAACAGGCACATGTAAAGGGATCCCAGGGATGTGTTCGATCATGACAACAGTCTAACATGTAGAAAAGTATAAAATCACATATTATACACATATTAAAATGTACATAATGCATGACATAAATACAGAATGTACAATAAAAACAAATTTAACCCCCAAACCGGCCATCCCAAAATAACACACCCCCAGCTGCTGACAGAGAATAGTTTCCAGAACCTCAAAATGATTTCGTCCAATTTAGTCACACAGACTTAGAAATATGCAGGGCAGTGTCCCTGGATTTACTCTACGCATTTTGCAGGAGAAGGGACATTTGGGTTGTAATAAAAAGAACAGCCACTGATGCCCTGAGGAAGCCCTGTGGCTAATGAAAATTCGGATTTGTTCAAATCCAAATACCGAAAGGAATTCACTTTTGAACCTGAATCCGGAAAAACTAAATAACGAAAAATCCGCAACTAAATGAACCGAAACAAATTTTTTTGCCGGCTTACATGTCTAGTTCCTAGCCCTAAACATAATAAATAATGAAAAATGTATACACTAAATTTACATACCTTACATGTCCTTATATGTGCATTGCAAATTAGAGGAAGCCCTGTAGGGCTAAACGCGTGGAAAAAAGATTTGTCAAAACTTGTGTTGTGGTTTTTTTTTCAATTAAAGCACTTTTGTTTACGGTGTGCTGTGTTTATTTACAATTATATTGTATACAACTACCCCTTACTCACTCACAAGGGGGGAGGTAGCATCTGGGTGCCCTTTTTATAAAAGGGGGCACCCAGATTGAGATAAGCCTCTCTGCCTGCAGACCCGCCACAACCACTGGGCTAGGGATGTGGGAAAGAGGCCCATGTCCTCACCGAATGGTCCCCCCTGGCAAAGCACCCACCCCATGTTGAGGACATGTGGCCTGGTATGGTGCAGGCTCTGCTAGGCTGCTGCTCGGATCTAGGGTCTGGTAAGAGTTTCTAGGTGGGACCCCACGCTTTAAAAAAAAATGTTTTGGCATTGGGGTCCCCCCTAAAATTCCTACCAGACCTAAAGGGTCTGGTAGGAATTAGGGGGGAACCGCATGCTGCTTTTTTTAAAATTGTTTCTGGGGACTGCCAACAGTTAAAAAGAACAAAGTAAGCACCGATACCAAGTACAGTACTCGGGACAAGTAAAAGTACATGTACCGATACTTTTTGAGCTCCAATACTAGACTAGAGAAAAATTAAAGTTAGGAGGCAGTTGTCATTTGTAAGGAGCACACGGAGCTCCTGGGATTTGTACATCTCTGTTTTAATGTATGATTTTGTTTTTATAAATAAAGGGATGCACCCAGGGCCGGATTTACTCTCCCTGCTGCCCCAAGGCTAGGTTCCGCAATACGCCCCCCCAAATTATTTTTTATTTTTTTAATCAATTACATTTTTTTTCACCTGACTTTATTGCTATCACACAGGAAAAAAAAATCCCCTGTGTGATAGCAATTGGAGGTGAAAGGGTCTCTTTAGGCCTGCTTGTGCAAAGCAGGACTAAATGTAGAGAGAGCAACTTACCGCCCAGCGCCCGCAACTTCCTCACAAGGACACCGCTGCCGCCCCTCTGAGCCCTGCCGCCTCGAGGCCGGACCTTGGTGGCCTTGTGGGGAATCCGGCCCTGGATGCACCAATACCAGTTTTGCAAGTACAAGTACTGGTACTTGCCCAAGTACTTAAGGTGCCCATACACCTGCCGATTATCGTACGATAATCGCAGGAAATCCCGTGATAGTATGTTAATCGGCAGGTGTATGTAAGCCGTGCGACCGTTTCTACTGTACGGTCGTACGTCTTTTGTCTCTCGACAAAAGAAGAATGCCGCACGG